TGAATACTTTCGGAAGGCACTGTATATATGTTTTATATTCATTATAAATGAAAAGCTGAAATGTCTTGAGTCAATAAGTATTCAACCCCTTTGTTATGGTAAGCCTAAATAAGTTCAGGATAAAAAATGTGCTTAACAAGTCACATAATAAGTTGCATGTAATAATAGTGTTTAACATTATTTTTTATTGACTACCTCATTTCTGTACCCCACACATACAATTATCTGTAAGGCCCCTCAGTCGAGCAGTGAATTTCAAACACAGATTCAACCACAAAGACCAGGGAGGTTTTCCAATGCCTCACAAAGAAGGGCACCTTGGTAGATGGGTCAACAACAACAAAAATGCTGACATTTGAGCATGGTCACTGCAAAGATACAGGCATCCTTCCTAACTCAGTTGCCGGAGAGGAAGGAAACTGCTCAGGGATTTCACCATGAGGCCAATGGTGACTTTAAAAGAGTTACATAATTTAATGGCTGTGATAGGAGAAAACTGAGGATGTATCAACAACATTGTAGTTACTCCACAATACTAACCTAATTGACAGAGTGAAAAGAAGGAAGCCTGTACAGAATAAAAATATTCCAAAACATGCATCCTGTTTGCAACAAGGCACTAAAGTAATTCTGGAAAAAAATTGGCAAATCCAATTCAACATATCACTAAGTACCACTCTCCATATTTTCAAGAATAGTGGTGTCTGTATCATGTTTTATGGGTATGCTTGTAATTGTTAAGGACTGTGGAGTTTTCAGGATAAAAAGTAAACAGAATAGAGCTAAACTGAGGCAAAATCCTAGAGGAAAACCTGGTTCAGTCTGCTTTCCACCAGACACTGGGAGATGAATTCATATTTCAGCAGGACAATAACCTAAAACACAAAGGCCAAATCTACACTGGAGTTGCTTACCAAGAAAACAGTGAATGTTCCTGAGTGGCTGAGTCACAGTTTTGACTTAAGTCTACTTGAAAATCTATGGCAAGACCTGAAAATTGTTGTCTACCAACCAATTTGACAGAGCATGAAGATTTTTATTAAAGAATAATGGGCAAATTATGCACAATCCAGGTGTGGAAAGCTCTTAGAGACTTACCCAGAAAGACTCACAGCTGTAATCGCTGCCAAAGGTGCTTCTACAAAGTATTGACTCAGAGCTGTGAATACTTATGTAAATGAAATATTTCTGTATTTCATTTTCAGTAAATGTAAAGAAAGAAAAAAAATATATATATGTTTTCACTTCGGCATTATTGATTATTGTGTGTAGATGGGTGAGAAATATTTTTTATTTCATCAATTTTGAATTCAGGCTGTAACACAACAAAATGTGGAATAAATCAAGGGGTATGAATACTTTCTGAAGGCACTGTATACTGTATTGATGTCACAAATGTATCATTTGTACATTTATTTCTTCATAAAGTAGATATGTGTTACATTTGACTGTGTAAAACCTATTAGTACTACTTATTTATCTGAGAGTGAGGTGAATATATAGCATTTAGCAAAAAACATGATTATTTGTCTCTCTGTAATGAAACCATCAAGTGATACATTTTAAACAAATACATGTCTGTCATTGAACAACCCTATGCCATGATTAGATAGTGAAAAAACATATCTCTTTAATGATTTATTTAAAAAATAAAAGCTAATGTACTAACATTTTTGAAAATGGATATACAGTGATTTGAAATGAAACCCTTCAAATGTAACCACTCTCAAATTCATAGACAGACCTATGGATGCAAGGACTGACCATCCATGATATCAAAATTATAGTTTTAATCATGTTTTAAGGCTATATAGTATTGGTTTGCAAATATTGGAGTAAAACAAGCTTCTATATTGGGTTTTGATGGGGTATGACAGTTGAACTAAACTCATGCCATGTATAAGTTATATTCTTCAATAATCAATGGGTACATATTTAATTTAAGTCCAAAAATGGATGTAGCAACTGCTGATTGCCCCTTTAAGAGAATATTCAAATACGTCTATAAACTGCTACAGATGAATTGCATCATCAATGTTTTACTGTGCACTGTGCAGTGTAGGCTGAAGATTGTATCAGGGATCCATGGGTACAGTAGCCTAGCCTACAACACAATAATGATCAGAGTACCTGAAACTATAACAAGACGGATAGTCATAACACTGTAACAACGTATGTAGTACATTGAGCCTAATTTCTAAATGGCAATACTCTGAGACTCTACTGATATAGATGTTTTGACAGCTAACTTATTCGAACGTTTTCTTAGCTTTCCTCCTCGATGCACACCACCACACGTCCTTAGGAAGCATAGAGCCATAGGCTATCATACGTGGTGCATTGCTGTATTTTCTCATTCTCTGCACAAAAGGTAGCCTAACAAAATGCAGAGCAGTTACGACTGAACATCTACCCTGCGACAACTGTGACAGTCTCTGCAGTGCTGACGGGATAAATGGGAAAAGTCCTACCTTGGACAGCTCAAGGAGTTTTAGCGACTCAACAGCTTCAGAAGTCTGAACGTGATAAATAAACAGACAGACGTGATTCATATGTTTGTATCTCTACGGACGTTTGCTTCTTGAATGTACATTAAGTGTTCTACGAATTTCCGAGGTCCCTTCTGGTGAAAATAACTAATTCATTTCAATACTTTCAGTGTCTCCGGTATGTTGTCAATTACCTTGGTAGATGCAGCTGATGCGCTAGTGCGCATGTGCAACTCAGGTCAGTCTTTTTGCTGTAATGTCATGGAGGTGAAGGCTAGTTTACACCACTGTTGCTATCGTCTCATCCCCCAACACTTCTAACTCTTTCTCCTAGTAAAATGTGTCCTATTCAGGAATATAGGTTCCTCACTAGGCATGGCGTCCGTTTACTAGTCAGATACTAGAGTGACATAAGCTTCCAGGTAGCCTACATTTAGAGTGACTAATATGTAAACATAGGCTATAATAATGGGGAGTCTCTGCGCCTTAGATGGTCGCTGTCCACTGTCATGTGGTTCTGAACTTCGTAATTCCGACTCTGTCGCTGTCCACATTAATGGTGCTGAATTACCGCAAGTGTCTTGTTTTCTAAATGTAGGTCTATTTAAACAGATTTTGATCGTTCTTATCTTCTGACTGTAGGCCCAATTAATGGATATTTGAAAAATGAAAAAAGCAAACAGAGGATGTGAAAAGGGTCAGAAGATAGTTGAAAAGAGGAAGATTTTGTTAATTAATTATTTTTGGCCTCTCCTCCCTGAGTGCTATGAAGACACACGGTGGTAACCATATTTAACTCACCAATGGGAATCTTATTAATTACACCCACTCTGTATCAATGCCAGTAATAGATAGCCTATATCTTCGATGAGACTATAACGTTTTTACACCCTTTGTGCTGCCCAATATTGCTATATTTGAACCACAGTCACATCAAGCAGCTATCTATCCAGCCAGGATCAATAGGCAGGGCTGGCTCCAGGCATAAGCAACATAAGTGGTACCTTAGGACCCCAGGCCGCTAGGGGGCCCCCAACCCCCTTTTCATTTTTTGGAACTCAGTTGGGGTCTCAACTTACTGTTGAGAGTTAGAATAGTAGAATACACAAGGTACAAGTTCGAAATTTGGTTGTGCATCAGCAATTTGTCTCTTGTCAGTCACTAACCACGTTTCCATCCACAGTTTTTATGCCAGTAAAGTCATTCCGTATAAAAAAAATAATAAGACGACTGCTGTGATGGAATAAGTAAGTTTTGGTACAATTGTATAAATGCCGACAAATAAGTGGTCCGTTCGACATGGTGGGATCTTTTTCTGTCTGTAAAATTAATTATGTGAGAAATAGCAGTGGAAATGACTTTATGCACAAATATTGATATGATAACCATTATATCGAAGTAAACTTGGAATCACACGATAATATGGTGTGTGGTCCTTCCACTACGACTCGGGAAACCATGCAGTTTATTAGGCTACAGATTACATAAAAATGTTTAAATAGGTAAGTTAGTCTAGCCAGCTACCTAAACTTATAGTTATCATGGCCGAATACCGACCAGGCATGCAGGGCACGTGCCCAGGGACCCTGAACTCCAGCAGGCCTCCATTGATTTTGTTAGTCACTCTCATTCTCACATATCATGCCAAAAGTCATGGCAAAATGTGTAGAATTGCGGGAAATTAGCTGTAAAACTGCAAAAAATGTATCTCTGCCCCATGGCAAAATTAGTAGAATTCCATGGAATCTTTTGCCATAAAACTGTTTAAATGTTTCTCCGCCCCATGGAAAAATGTACAGAATTGCAGGAATTTCACTTTAAAAGTAAATTATTCTCTCTGCCTTAAAGAGAGGGGGCCACTAAAATGGGGGGCAACCAAATCTCGCTTAGGGCCCCCAAAAGGCTAGCAATGGCCCTGTCGATTGATATTGCTAGAAGACATTTGCAGTAGAAATTGATTGATTCATGTTGACATTTGGAAGCTACTGGATACATAAGCCGAATAGACAGACAGGTCGAAATCTACTGTATACTCTAACTGTTTTACTGCTGAGCTAATTAAAATGCTGTCTGTTCATGTTTGTGAGTGCATGCGTTCCGAAGTGCGCCTGCGCATTTCCCTCAAGCGCCAGAGTGTAAAACAGGAGAGCACTGCTGATGTCATAGCAGCCTGCCAAGGACTTTACTCGTTGACTGCTCGTGCGGCCCAAGTGTATGCGAAGTCCTTATCAAGAGATGCAAAGGATGTGCTTTTGATCTTAGCAACGAGGATACTTTCTCAAAATCAGGTTAGGAGATTCTGTGTCTTTTTCAGAGAGTCTTGTGAGGCGCATGCCGACTGTGGCGGCAACCCGCACTCTTCATCCACCGTATACTTCGGAATGGAGCGAGCGGCTGTCGTGCGCGTATGATATTGGCACGCAGGCGTGACAGCAGTATTGGACATTTGACTATCTTACAGCAGGTTACCGCTATTATTTCATAATTTTATCGAGAACCGGGGGACCAATCATGTCTTCAAGTGAAAGAGAAAAAGGAAATATGACGAAGGACAGCGTCAGCTTGCTGCCCTGCTTCTATTTCGTTGAGGTAGGTTGATTCTCTCTTTTTGAAGACTGTCTGGGCTGACTCAGAGAATAAGAGGATAGTGACATTAATCATGACTATAAACACCTGTAAAACATTTTTTTCACATATTTTCATACACACACAAAAAAAAAGTATGTTGCATAAATGGGAGGGCTGCAACGAAATATCAAACAATAAGAAACAAAGAAATAGGTAAATCATATGAATAATGATAATAGGCTATTGCAGTTGTGGAAAAATAAATGCAAGCAGTTCAATTTCAAGTTATATACATGATTTGTATGAATTACATATATTGATTGGTATTTATGTTTGGTTTCAATACACATGATCGAACACGTTGTTGATGTTCTCTGGATGCAAGCACCACAAGATACACTATGCACAATATGTTGAAACAGAGATATCACTCACAAGCATGCACATTTACTGTGTGCATGTGTGTGTGTGTGTGTGTGTGTGTGCGCGCGCGTGTGTGTGTATGTGTGTGCGCGTATGCGCATGTGCTTGTGTGTGTTTATGTGTGTGTGTGTGTGTGTGTGTGTGTGTGTGTTTATGTGTGTTTGTGTGTGTGTGTGCGCGCGTGTGTGTGTTTATGTGTGTATGTGTGTGTGTGTGTGTATGTGTGTGTGCGTTCATGTGTGTGTGCGTGCGTATGTGTGTGTGTGCGTGTGTGTGTGTGTGAAAATCTTGAAATCTGTGGTAGGCATTAAGTAGCATATATGACTCTATCAGACACTGAACATTAAGGACTCAGGAGTCAGCTCAGCTCAATTCAACCGAATCATATCTCCTATGAAGCCTGGCTGCCAAATACCATATTACTGTATATCTAGGATTTTTTTACACAGTCTTCCATCGCAGTTCAGCCAGTTCAGCATCTCTTCTCCACACCAACGGGACATGCATCTTTCATGTGATGTCTCTGGATATTTAAACTACACAACATACATCACCATGTCAGGGGCAGTAAGTAGGCCTTGGACAAGTAACCCTTGTCCGAGCCAGAACAGCCAATAGGCCGTTTTAAGGGAGTAGTTCTTATGAGGAGCGTCCTGTATCTTAACCATGGCTTTACTTTTAAAGAACCTTGCTTCTTGATTATATTAAGAACCATTGGTTCTGTGTTAAAGTGGCCTTGTAGAGTTTTTCTTGCCTGAGGCTTGTGTCTCTAGTGGAACCAATTTGAGCACACAGTGTAGTGAAAACCCGAGATAAAACAGGGGAAAACTTTATGTTCAAAGGATGGATCAAACACATGGAGTGTACTGTACTGCACTGTTCTGCACTATTCTGCACTGTACTGCACTGTTCGACACTGTTCTGCACTGTTCTGGACTGCACTGTACTGCACTGTTCTGTTCTATACTGCACTGTACTGCACTGTACTGCACTGTACTGCACTGTACTGTACTGTACTGTACTGTACTGTACTGTACTGTACTGTACTGTACTGTACTGTACTGTACTGCACTGTTATGCACTGCACTGTACTGCACTATTCTATTTTGCACTGCACTGTTCTGTTTTGTACTGTATGTACTGTAGTAAAAATCTGTCATCTTTTGGACCCTTACCAATGTTCTCTGACTGGAAAGCCAGTTTACTTCTCCCCTTTGGTCTAGCAGGAAACTGGAGCATATATAGGCCAATGGGGCAGGGGCATCACCCGCTACAGTGCAGAATGGAGCCAGTGGGGCTCATGCTGGGGAATACATAGCTCTTGAAATATAGATCATGAGCAGGGCATTAGGCATACCTAGGCTACATGTTGATGTTGCAATGCATGCACAGCGTGAGTTGCAAAGAAGTGTCATATTTGTTCATTCTCTTATTCATTTGTTTATCCGTTTGTTAATTCATTCATTCATAAGATCTTCTTTTTGGTTAATGCCCTTAAAGCGCACGTGGAGAAACCATCCCACTGCCCCTGACAGCTAACTTTACAGCACTACTGGAGAAGGAGAAACCACATGGCTGCACCACAACACACATCTCACATGCAGGCAATATTGACCACCTCATGTCTCTGATTCACTGGCTTTGTTTCCAATGTCCACACAAACATACACACCATACCACTCAGTATGAAGTCATGGATTGGATATACATTCTGAGTGGTATGCTTATTTGTTTTTTTGGAACAGAACACCTGTTTCCTCTCAACTGGTTCCTATGGTTTGATTATTATTATTATTTTTGTAATGACAGTCTTATAGGGCTGTAATGACACGCGTATAGGGCTATATGTGTAAGACTTAAATGTGTGTGTGCAAGACACCCATGCTTGGTTGAATTACAGTCTTATAACAGTCTTATAGGGCTGTATGTACTGTATGTGTACAGTAAGACACTCATCAAGCCTCCATCATCCTCAGAAAGACACCTTCGCTGCCTTGTGAGATGATGCCTTTAGTCTGTGCTGCTACACAGGGTTTGGAACAGGTTCAGGGAACAGAACCAAAAATAGCAAAATAGCAAAATTCTTCAAGGAACAGAATCAGAACCGGGAATTAACGTGATCTATACTGTTCCGCAACAGAACCGTTATTTTAAAAGCATGGCACCGGTTAATAATGTTATTTTACGTTCCGGGCATTTTTTTCAGTCCCACAAAAAAAACGCAACAAAGCGCCTATGAAAAGCCCTCACTCAGTCACTTGGAAACTTATTCCAGTGTCAGCCTACCAGCAGAAAATATTTTTTCCAGTGTGTGTGTGCGTGTGTAGACTATCTGCCCCTACCCCTCCAAAGCATAGGCTACTGTAGCCTACTGACGTTACACACGTGATTCAGAAATTAGGGAGAGATTTTTTATTAGATAAGAATGGATAAACTTTTTCAGTGCTAGTTAAGGCTACTATAGTTATCACGTTTCACATTGGATTTATTAATTACTAAAAGCTAAGACGTGGTTTTTATTCTGTTGTCGCTCTGCACACACAAGCTTGTTAGCTAGCTAGCTCTGGTCCGACATTAAGCCAACTCTCGGAAGTTCAAAGACATTCAAAGTTCCTCCATAGAAGCAACTCCTCCGTAGGTATAATTCTGTGGGCCTAATTAAGTATAATGCATGTCATAACAATATGCCCAGCGCTTCAAGCCAAGTCTCCTCCTCCACCCTCTCTCGCTCTTTCCCCACCCGCAAATTTCAGTCGCATCTAACACCCTACACCGCGCATACAAACAACTATAGCTTGCCCGGTCAGAGCTGCTCTAGCCACACTGATTGGTGAAGTAATTTAATGTCAAGCTAAATGTGAAAAAATAAATAATAATCAGAGGTTTAAAAGGAACAGAAAGGAACAATATAAATCAGTACTTTTTTTGGTTCAGAACATTATTTTGCAGGTCGGAACAGTGTAACAGAATGAAAAAAATAATGGTTCTGTTCAGAACTAAACAATTTAAAAATAATTTTGGGTCCAACCCCTGCTGCTACATGCTATAAATAGCACACCAGCCAACCAACCAGTCCACTTTCCATTTCTAGCCATCCATTATTAAACTTCATCTGTCACTTCCCTGCCTTTCATTTCTGTAATCACTGGATCTGGGTTTAAGCAGAGTGAGATTAGAGGTACAGTTTTGTCTGGCAGTGGCAAGATAATGGACAGAAATAGGACTGTTTGTGTTACCAGCATATTCATGTTCATTAGACTGCATGCACCTGGTGTTTATAAATTGTAAATGTTGCAGTCTAATTATGTATGTTTTTAGAAAGACTAATGCACATGAATAAATCCCATGTGAGAGTTTTCGAGGGTTCTCCTCTAGGCCCTTCTACTAAAGATGTACTACTTTGCTCGTTTAGATTAGGAAGTGGCTCCTAATCCAGGACCGGATCTTTTAGTTCTGAAGATCCGTATCCGTGAGTCCACAAATTCTTGCAGTATCTCACGGGAATTTGGGACTTCAGTCATTATTCTCGTGCTAAAACCAGATTAACCACATAGTGAAATGCAAACAGATGATATTTGCAATGTCATTACAGTTTTTCTCAGTCGCTTTGGTGCATTTCTTAGATCAAAAGTGCAATTCTTGATACTACTTCTACAAATTCCAAATCATCTAGTCACTTGTGCACATCATTAAAGCAATTTCTTATTCCTTTGAACAAATTGCAATTGCTTTTGTACATATTGCAATTGATAATGTACAAGTGTCAGCTTTTTTCCACATTTTCAATTGCTCATGTCATGTTGATCAAAATATAGTAGATGGTTCTCTGTTGAATAGTCTTACCCCTCAAAACATCTAGGCATTAGTTCCTTGCATAAGCCATTACATGCAAAATTGTTGAACTATTTGTCATAAACTGTCAAGCATAGTTTTACACATTTCTATTAGACCTTTTGTACAAAAACGTAAATTGCTGAATCGTGCAGGTGAAATTAACCCTCACTCATGAAGGAATGTAAAGTGTTAGTTCAACCAACAATCAACCAGTTGTCTAAATTGCTCAAAGGTGCATCTCATGAAGAATCAATTGGCAAGCATACATAGACAGACCACAACACAGAGTTGCAATTTTCCAATAATGGATGGACCAGGAAACGAACAGGGTCAACAGCCAAGAGGAGGAAGAAGAGGAGCAAGGATGCGTGGTGGAAGGCAAAACAGAGGAAGAGGCAGAAGAGGACATAGGCGCATATCTGATGACATAAGGGCCACTATTGTAGACCATGTTGTCAATCATGGCCTTACAATGGCTGAGGCGGGTCAAAGGGTGCAGCCGAATATTGGGAGATCAACCGTGTCCTCAATAGTACAAACGTTTCGAAGAGAGAACAGGTATGTCCACCAATGTACAGTGCACTGTTACTGTATATAAGCAGTATACTGTATACTTCCTACAATGCTTCATATTACAGTAGTCCACTTGTATTTCACAGCATACAGAAATATACTCTATACAGATACATACTGCACCTTACATGCACCCACCTGTATATTTTACAGTAAAATGTGTGTTCGCATAGTTTTTGTCTATGTGAAAGTGTGCGATGCATCACTGCATTTTTCCACACATAGGACTGCAAGATTACCTCAAACCGGTGGCAGAGGACGCCTTTTCACACCTCAACAGGAGGAGGCTATTTGCACCATGGTCCGAGCAAACAATGCCATGAGACTCAGGGAAATACAAAGGACCATTATAGAAGACAACGATGTCTTTGAAAACATCCATACGGTTAGCATCTCAACCATCGACAGGGTGCTGCATAGAAACCAGATGAGTATGAAACAGCTGTACCGTGTACCATTCCAAAGGAATGAGGACAGAGTTAAGGAGCTACGGTACCAGTATGTACAGGTAAAACATATATCTATGTAACTACTTTACAGCAACATTTTATAGTGTTACATAGTACAGTAAGCATAAACTGCACACATTTCCATTGCTGTGGAAGGAACATGCAATTATATGTACATTTTATGTCACTCTTCCTTACCAAAACAAATTCAACTGTGTGTTCTGGGATATGGCGTATAATGGAGTTGGAATCAAGTGAACCCTCTCACAACTTTGTATACGTGGATGAGGCTGGCTTCAACCTGACCAAATGCAGAAGGCGGGGTCGGAATATCATCGGTCACAGAGCTACTGTGGATTTGCCAGGCCAACGGGGAGGAAACATCACCATGTGTGCTGCTATTTCGGAGCATGGTGTCCTAACCCATATCCCCCTTTTAGGGCCATACAACACCCAGCATCTATTCAACTTTTTAGAGACTCTTTACAGGGCTCTCATGCCTGATGATGAGAGGGGTCTGTTTAGAGAGGATTTGCCAAAGTATGTGGTCATTTGTGATAATGTGAGTTTCCATCGATCAAACATCATAAGGCAATGGTTTGTGACCCACCCGAGGATGCTCATAGAATTCCTCCCACCTTATTCACCATTCCTTAACCCAATTGAGGAGTTCTTTTCAGCATGGAGGTGGAAGGTGTACGATCGTCAGCCACACACACAGATGACCCTGCTGGCTGCAATGGATGCAGCATGTGAGGACACCACAGTAGACGCCTGCAGAGGATGGATAAGGCATTCCAAAAGATTATTTCCACGTTGCATTGGAAGGGAAAATATCCGGTGTGATGTGGATGAGAATATGTGGGCTGACAGACAGGAACGTCTGGATGTGTAGAGACAGCACTAGAACAGTGCTGTGGGCAAAGTTGTGCCTTAGGGGTGGTTTCCTGTGTTTCTTTCTAATTTAGTTTTTTTTCCTTTGTGCCCCTTGGGTTGTCCAGTCTCTTTCAATCAATAACCCACATACAGTAATATGTAAATAGTACTGTTGAAATTGATATATGCCATAGAAGTGCAGCCTTGTGCATTTTCAATACAGTAACTGTCATCCAAACTGTAGCCTAAGTTTACATCAGGTAATACTGTCAAAGTACACAGTTCCATTGACAACATGCCTAAACATTTTGACAACCTTGTTCGTGAACAATGACTCAATGACTTATCATTCTGATGACACTGACATGATCATTGGCATGAATATTTACTTTTGAGAGATGTACTAAGGATTTTTAGTGACTGACTAGCTTTAGAAACATATCTATTGTATATTGCAGTTTGTACAAATTGTTCTGAGAAATGCACTTATTATTTTGCACATGATGTGAAAAATGCACCAAAGCGACTGAGAAAAACTGTAAGTGGGAGAACATGCACAATTGGTGGCTGACTAAATACTTTTTTTCCCCATAGATAGATAGATAGATAGATAGATAGATAGATAGATAGATAGATAGATAGATAGATAGATAGATAGATAGATAGATAGATAGATAGATACAGTGGGGAAAAAAGTATTTAGTCAGCCACCAATTGTGCAAGTTCTCCCACTTAAAAAGATGAGAGAGGCCTGTAATTTTGTGAAGTCACTTTAACACGCCGACATCAAGAAGACGTCCTTCTGTTCCTCTAGCAGCGGGGTACTCTGTCACAGCCTCCTTTTAACACTAGCTGGCTGTTTAAGAGCTGAATGTGGAATTACTGCATCAGCATGGATGCCCAAGGCCAAACACAGACCACATGCTGTACAGCACTGCATCCCAGAGAGCTACCAACTTTACATTCAATTACACATGTATCTGGCTTCGCATGAAACTTATTTACTGGACTGAAAGTCTTACAGTCTTTCAATGGTACACATTGACATGTACATGCTAAAATTACATTCATGGCCCACTCTGTATATTAATTGCATTGGATGTCCAGCCAACATTACACTGCAGTGCTACCAACTAGGTACAGTTGAAGTCGGAAGTTTACATACACTTAGGTTGGAGTCATTAAAACTCATTTTTCAACCACTCCACAAATTTCTTGTTAATGAACTATAGTTTTGGCAAGTCGGTTAGGACATCTACTTTGTGCATGACATAAGTAATTTTTCCAATAATTGTTTACAGACATATTATTTCACTTATAATTCACTGTATCACAATTCCAGTGGGTCAGAAGTTTACATACACTAAGTTGACTGTGGCTTTAAACAGCTTGGAAAATTCCAGAAAATTATGTCATGGCTTTAGAAGCTTCTGATAGGCTAATTGACATCATTTGAGTCAATTGGAGGTGTACCTGTGGATGTATTTCAAGGCCTACCTTCAAACTCAGTGCCTCTTTGCTTGACACATGGGAAAATCAAAAGAAATCAGCCAAGACCTCAGAAAAAAAATGGTAGACCTCCACAAGTCTGGTTCATCCTTGGGAGCAATTACCAAATGCCTGAAGGTACTACATTTATCTGTACAAACAATAGTACGCAAGTATAAACACCATGGGACCACGCAGCTGTCATACTGCTCAGGAAGGAGACGCGTTCTGTCTCCTAGAGATGAACGTACTTTGGTGCGAAAAGTGCAAATCAATCCCAGAACAACAGCAAAGGACCTTGTGAAGATGCTGGAGGAAACAGGTACAAAAGTATCTAAATCCACAGTAAAACGAGTCCTATATCGACATAACCTGAAAGGCCGCTCAGCAAGGAAGAAGCCACTGATCCAAAACCGCCATAAAAAAGCCAGACTACGGTTTGCAACTGCATATGGGGACAAAGATCGTACTTTTTGGAGAAATATCCTCTGGCCATAATGACCATCGTTATGTTTGGAGGAAAAAGTGGGTTGCTTGCAAGCCGAAGAACACCATCCCAACCGTGAAGCACGGGGGTGGCAGCATCATGCTGTGGGGGTGCTTTGCTGCAGGAGGGACTGGTGCACTTCACAAAATAGATGGCATCATGAGGAAGGAAAATTATGTGGATATATTGAAGCAACACCTCAAGACATCAGTCAGGAAGTTAAAGCTTGGTCGCAAATGGGTCTTCCAAATGGACAATGACCCCAAGCATACTTCCAAAATTGTGGCAAAATGGCTTAAGGACAACAAAGTCAAGGTATTGGAGTGGCGATCACAAAGCCCTGACCTCAATCCTATAGAAAATGTGTGGGCAGATCTGAAAAAGTGTGTGCGAGCAAGGAGGCCTACAAACCTGACTCAGTTACACCAGCTCTGTCAGGAGGAATGGGCCAAAATTCACCCAACTTATTGTGGGAAGCTTGTGGAAGGCTACCCGAAACGTTTGACCCAAGTTAAACAATTTAAAGGCAATGCTACCAAATACTAATTGAGTGTATGTAAACTTCTGACCCTCTGGGAATGAGATGAAATAAATAAAAGCTGAAATAAATCATTCTCTCTAGTATTATTCTGACATTTTACATTCTTCAAATAAAGTGGTGATCCTAACTGACCTAAAACAGGGAATTTTTGCTAAGATGAAATGTCAGGAATTGTGAAAAACTGAGTTTAAATGTATTTGGCTAAGGTGTATGTAAACTTCCGACTTCAACTGTATATCAACCTAGCCTGATCCATCCTGACAGCTGCGTTCTCGTTAGCAAAGTAGAATGTAAGCTTGGGTTTGTACGAGGCTAATATCAACCCATCTCAGACCTAACATCTCTGTGGGTACACTATTAGATCCCAATTGGATTTATCATCGTCATTTATTTGGCTTTATCAGGTGATACCTTTTTCCTCATGAGATTTTCTCCTAGTAGGTCGCAAACCTATTTCCTTTCTGCTGTAGGAGTTGGTGTGGAATGTAATATTGTGTAAAAAGGGGACTTTCGTCTTTGGGAGCCCATGCTCCCTGAGCACTTAAGACATAATTACTTGGCTGAAGATAAGGGACAGAACTAAACTGTGACAAGTCGATGTGAAATCAGTTCAGTGATGCATCCTATCATAGCCTGCAAGACTACACCACATCGAAGAGCTAGCTCTTTTAATGCATGTTCTACTGGTGCCAATTTTGCTCCAGTAGTTCCTAGAACCAACTAGTCTTTGAAATCCCAGACCATTGGGACACTGTGGGAGGTAACCCATCTGTCTAATACTAGAGACTAGGAACCAACCACTAAGAGTTCACTAGAGCAACCTGTGTAATTCCCTACATTTGAATGTCTGACTTGTGACAGCAATCAATGTTGTTGTTTTCCAAATTATGAATTAGCTTTCTAACTAGGATTCATTAACATTAATTTAGTGTTTTTCACACTTTCATTGTGTTGAAAGTTGGTTGACATCCCATAGTTATGATTTGACAACTTCCCCTTCATCAGGTCTCTGAAACTGAGATATTGACTCAGAATCCATCGTCTCCAGTGGAATCAGAGTAACGAGTGAATCGAACCACACAATGATTCTGACATATCATGTTTGTTGTTTTGCCTCTCTGTTTATGTGCTTGTTTGTTTGTTTGTTCACCCGTGGGCAGCTCCCCATCCTGGTGTCGTCGGTGGTGAGTCTGTACTTCCTGGAGCTGACAGACATGTTCAAGCCAGTCCGCTCGGGGTACAGCTGCCACGACCGCAGCCTCAGCCTGCCCTACATAGAGCCCACCCATGAGATTATCCCCCTGCTCATGCTGCTCAGCCTGGCCTTCGCTGGACCTGCCATCACGGTCAGTAACACACACACACACACACAGGCATGCTCGCACGCCCACACGCGCACACATACATTCACACATTCACTCATATGCACACACAGTCACACATGTCAGTGGCATTATCTATGTCATCCTGACTTGTCACACTTGGCATTTTAGTTGAGTGCTGCCTGTAGGCCTACTTGGTTGTTCTTCCAACAGAAATAGGCAGGCCATGTTTTTAGATATGGTAGAATGTCAGAAGATCCTAGTGTAAGATAGGCCTCTTAGGAGGAAGAGAGCATTGGTCAGTATGGTAACACTAAGTTGACCCAAAGCTGCAGATCTTTACAGGGTAAGATGAAGGGTACAGTGATCTGACATTCAATTTCCTCTGATGTCTCTGTTGATGCCTCTTCCCCACTAGCTAAAATATTGTGACTACCGTCAGCTGAGGATTCTGAAGATCTTGTCCTAAGTATGACTAATGATGTGTTTGAGAAGTTTGACTATTCGAAACAAAACTCTAACTCACGTCAAAAAATGTCTCTATCCGCCAGCAATCCCTGTTTGCTACCAGAATCCTCTCCTGTATTGATCTGAGGCACTTATAAAAAGAAAAGGAACTTATCCCAAATAGCATCTTCAACTACACTATATATACAAAGTATCTTCAAATTAGTGGATTTGGCTATTTCAGCCACACCCGTTGCTTACAGGTGTATAAAATCGATCACACAGCCATGCAATCTCCATAGACAAACATTGGCCTTCACTACTGAGTTCCAAACTGCTTTGGAAGCAACGTCAGCACAATAACTGTTCGTCGGGAGCTTCATGAAATGGGTTTCCATGGCCGAGCAGCCGCACACAAGCCTAAGATCACCATGCACAATGGCAAACGTCGGCTGGAGTGGTGTAAAGCTCGCCACCATTGGACTCTGGAGCAGTAGAAACGCATTCTCTGGAGTGATCAATCACGCTTCACCATCTGGCAGTCCAATGGACGAATCTGGGTTTGGCGGATGCCAGGAGAACGCATCTTCCCCGAATGCATAGTGCCAACTGTAAAGTTTGGTGGAGGAGGGGCTGTTTTTCATGGTTCGGGCTAGGCCCCTTAGTTCCAGTGAACGGAATTCTTAACGCTACAGCAAACAATGACATTCTAGACGATTCTGTGCTTCCAACTTTCTTGTAACAGTTTGGGGAAGGCCCTTTCCTGTTTCAGCATGACAATGCCCCGTGCACAAAGCAAGGTCCATATAGAAATGGTTTGTCGAGATCGGTGTGGAAGAACTTGACTGGCCTGCACAGAGCCCTGACCTCAACCCCATTGAACACCTTTGGGATGAATTGGAACACCGACTGCGAACCAGGCCTAATCGCCCAACATCAGTGCCTGACCTCACTAATCCTCTTGTGGCTGAATGAAAGCAATTCCTCGCAGCAATGTTCCATCATCTAGTGGAAAGCCTTCCCAAAAGAGTGGAGGCTGTTATAGCAGCAAAGTGGGGACCAACTCCATGATTTTGGAATGAGATGTTCGACGAGCAGGTGTCCACATACTTTTGGTCATGCAGTAATTCTACTGACTTTAGTAGTGTGATGACGCATTACTTTCACAGAGATCTCCTAGCAACACTCAGTACTGTAGCAAGCAGATCTTGTGTTTCCAGTCCTCTGTCAGACTCTCTCTCAGGTGTATACACTGTGGCTGACTGTTCTCTCAGGTGTTTATACTGTGGCTGCTACTGTCAGCCAGCATTTGACTGCCAGCCACCCCAGAGTAGTCTCTGTAGCTAGCAACCTCCCCAAGACCTATCCTGACTCAGTCAATGTGTTTTTGTCACTGGCTATGAAGCTATCTCAACCTATATGTCCCCAGGTGAACTGACAGTTTGAAACTACGGTTTGGGGTCCTCTTTTTTTTGTTCTGTGGTTTAAGTGAGGGTTATGAATGAGTGGGTGTTGCAGTGTTTTGTGGTGTTTTCAAGCAGGCTGCTCATGCAGAAACGCGTTGATTAGTTCACACTCGACTTCCTGAGAGTCCTGGAGGCATATTGCTGTGTTTGACAGGAAGACTAAACTGTTCTCAAGTGTGAACCATTCTCTCTTCTTCTTTAAAACGTCCCCTCACAATGGTGTTGCTAAGGTGCCTTTCTAAGCATCTTCTCAGGCTGACTGTAAGGTGTCCACCCACTCTGTCCAGAGTAGGTGAAAACGCACTTGGGTGATGACATTTCACTTCCTTATGTTATAAAATAAATGTTACCAAGACAAATATGATTCTTCATGTTCTGAATCGTTCAGTGGGGTCTTTCTCCAACATATCATTAACACATTAATATTATATCCAAAAAGTCAGATTTCATAACCTAATACATCCAATAATAAGCACCAAGCTCTGTTGACAGAGCGGGGCAGCTTTCCCGCTAAAACTTTTGAGGATTTTAAATTTTTTGGTTGTTGTCTTCCAAGTTGTGGGTCGCAAATATCAAAATTAGCATGACACAAGCTGAATCTAATGTAAAAGGCTTTGAAAATAAAAAGCCTGCGGTATGCTCAGTGCTCCCTTGACATTTCACAGAGATACGCTTGTTTTTGTGAGAAGTCTTTGAAAAAGAACTGGAACTTCACATTAATATGTAATGTCTCAAAATCAATATCTATCTTACCTCCATATTGTTTTATGTCCTCCGGATTTGAGAACAAAGATAACGAGTTCAGTGGGAAGCCTGTCAGGTAACCTTAATTATTTACCAGATTTTTTACCACTTTTTTTCTCTGGCCGCTATTAATTTAGTCACCCTAATTTTGACCATCCTACAAGAGTAAAAACTCCAATACATTTTGAACAGATTATGACGGAGACATGAGGTTTGGACCATTGGTTTTCTTAGAGGATTATCTACACAATTAACATTATTTTACCCAATGGTCAAAATATGTGTTTTTGACTGTGACTGCACATCAGAGTACATACTTAACTACTGTACCCCTCACCCTTCTCTGAAAGGTAAAGATTACTCAATTTCTCTAGTTGTTTACTACTGGTCTGGTGCTTTGGAATATGTACATACTGTACCAAACACATTCCCAGTCCATTAGCAGCACTGTTCAAACAGTTACATTTAATGAGATGAACTAGCTGATTATAAATACTTCATCACGGCACTGAGACAGAAATATAACTCAGGACATATGGGAGTGTACTGTATATCTAAGGTTCAGAATGCTAACACTTTAAATCCTTCTATATTCCATCTGCAATCCATTCAGATGCAGTTCCCAAACATCAGCTAACACTGTGAAATATTTGTATGTATTGGTATAGTCCTAGCCTAGCGTATCACAATAACAACATGTAAAATGAAAGATCAGTTCAATACCTCATCAAACAACAATTAACCTACATACAGTAAGTACGATAATGTTACAACATTCTATTAGTTCAGATGACCTAGCCTTTTCCACCATCTCTATCAGTGCTGAGTATTGGTTTATTATAGAGCAGATTTATCACTAGAAAGGAAGTACCTGCAGGTAGTGCAGGATCCTGTGGTTCGGCCAGTTGTCATAGCTCAGTGTTCTGTTGCCTTCTCTCTCTCTCTCTCTCTCTCTCTCTCTCACACACACGCACACGCACACGCACATGCACACAGATACACGCACACACACACGCACACATACACACACACATACACACACATACAAACACACACACAGACACACACACTCCCACCTCTTTCTCTATCTCTGGAACCTCTCAACCTGTCAGATGGGCAGAGTGTGCTGCCATGGCGATAGCCGCATGATACCTGGCCACTCATTCATGTCACAGCGTGACAGCAGACCCTACGCCAAAGGCTTAGTTAGACTATACTACAGTACCCACAGCACCCTGGGGTTTAGCCCTTACTTCTCACAACACCCTGCCTGTGCCAGGCCAGGACAGGGTGTGGATCACCGCTGACATCAAACACACAGCCCCACTGAGATATAAACTCTTCATGCATTCACACTGACAGACTGAAGAGGGGTTATTATAGACTAGTAATGACTGTATCAGAGCTGTGGGAGAGGATGTACCATTGGGATTCATGCTTTATTCAAGTTGTCAAGGCGTGGGTAGTCTCTTGTGGTAGCTGGCTGGAGTTCTGAGATTATGGATCGGGTAACAGAGTAGGATTCTGATTGATTGACAGGTGTGGTGGTGTGTGTGTGTGTGTGTGTGTGTGTGTGTGTGTGTGTGTGTGTGTGTGTGTGTGTGTGTGTGTGTGTGTGTGTGTGTGTGTGTGTGTGAGTGTGTGTGTTGATTGTTTCAGCTCCCCTGAACAGAGCAGAGGGGATTGGATTGTGTTTGAAGGTCAGGGTGGAGGGGTTTATTCAGACACAGACGACAGCCAGGTGTCCTGTGGTCCTGTTTGTCAAAGTTCCAGACACAAGGGAGAGACTTACTGTACACCTAGGTTGGCTGAAGTTATTAATGTTCTATATTGGAAGTAGGGTTGGGCGGTATCCAGATTTTCAAACCGTCATACAGTTTCTGTATATGGTATTACCGAATCTGCACACAAGGGCCTCTATTTCAACAACAAAAAAATGAATGTCTCTGCTGTAATCAAGCTAGCAAGTTAGCAAACCAAATGCATAGCTGGAGCCCTGAGCTGGATATAATTTATTTGACACATCTTAGATTTCTTATAGTTATAAACAGTGGTGTAGCACTCACCCCCGTGAGGGCTAATTATTATTATTATATATATTTTTACGGTATTGAAAATCATACCGTTGGTATTTCGAAATACCTCGGTAAACGGTATATCGCCCAAGCCTAATTGGAAGGTATTGTGATATAGGTCAGTCAGGTTATACAATCTTGATTACCACAGCTGGTTAGTGCTGAGAGTTGTACATGGGAATGGTAGGCCATAGTACTCCACACTGCAGGGAAAGTGTGCCTTGGCCTTCCCCTAACCTTTCGTCTGGGGCTATGCCAAAGACAGGGAGCTTTACTTTAACCCAAAAACAGAGTGCTGAGAGGAGAGGCAGTCATTTGAAACAGAGGTAGACAGAGTTCAAGGGAAAGGTGATCTCTTAATCCTACCGTGTGTGTGTGTGTGTGTTTGTGTGTGTGTGTGTGTGTGTGTGTGTGTGTGCGTGTGCATGTGTGTGTGTTTGTGATGTAAGTGTATGTGTCCACAGTGTCTCTGACACACCGATGGCCATGTCTCTGTCCACAGATAATGATCGGAGAGGGGATCCTGTTCTGCTGTCTGTCCAGAAAAAGGAAGGGTGTCGGGGCAGAGGCAGACATTAATGCAGCAGGCTGTAACTTTAACTCCTTCATCCGCAGAGCTGTCAGGTTTATTGGTAAGTTTAATTTGGTTTACTTGATGAGACTGTCTCAGCCCTTTAAGTATGTATTTTTATGAATAATGAAAAAATGACATGACAAGGCCCAAGTATAAATAGAAATCTATGCTAACTGGGTGTGTGTGCATGTGTGTGTGTGCATGTGCCGCACGTGCATGTGTGTGTCTCTGCCACCCAGGGGTCCATGTGTTTGGCCTGTGTGCCACGGCTCTCATCACGGACATCCTCCAGCTAGCGACGGGCTACCACGCACCTTACTTTCTGACTGTGTGTAAACCCAACTACACCATGCTCAACACAACTTGCGACGAGAACACCTACATCCTGCAGGATATCTGCTCCGGGTCCGAAACCGCAACCATCAACCAGGGCAGGTTTGTCACATTCACCTTTCACCTTTGACCTCTAAAGAGCTGTCAATGTATTTCTGCTCCACCAACCTGACGTTAAGGGGTCAGGGTTATGGCTAGGGTTAGGGTTGATCCAGGATGAGGACATGAAGATAGGGTTACGGTTAGGGATAGAGTTGTGGTTGAGGCTAGGGTTAGCTTTGAACCGGGATGTGGACATGAAGCTTGAGTTAGGGTTCAGGGTTAGGGTTGAGCCGGGGTGTGGACATGAAGTTAGGGTTAGGGTTAAGGTTAGGGTTGCAACTATGGTTAGACATGAGGACATGAAGCTAGGGTTAGGGTTAGTGTTATGGCTAAGGTTAAGGTTGACCCAGTGTGTGGACATTTGTCACGACTTCCTCCGAAGCTGCCTCCCCTCCTTGTTCGGGCAGGCTACGGCGTTCGTCGTCACCGGCCTTCTAGCCACTGCCGCTCCATATCTCATCATTCCATTTGTCTTGTCTTCTCAATTACACACACCTGGTTCGTATTCCCCTCATTAGTATGTGTTTAAGTGTTCCCTCTGCCCCCTTGTCCTTGTGGGTGAGATGAGTGTAGCTCGGTGGAGCTACCTGTACTTTGTATTGCCGGGGTATATTTTCCCAGTGTTCCTGTATTTGTTCCAGTGCGCCTGTGTTGCGCACTGGACTGTTGACGCTATCTAGCGTAACCGTGTACTATGGAATAAACTCTGTATTCTGTGATTTACCCTCCTGCGCCTGACTCCTTCAAATCACAATCTCACAACATTATGCTTGGGTTAGAGTTAGGGTTGAGGCTAGGGTTAGCATTGAACCAGGATGTGGACGTGAAGCAAGGGTTAGGGTAAAGGTTAGGGTTAGGGCTCCATTGTAGTCTATGGAAAACAGAGCTAAAGCTCATTCAGAAGTCTCAGCTTTCTTCTGACGATATTATCATCCTCAAATATCACAAATATCTACACTGTCAATCAAAGCACATTTTGTCTGGAAGTTGTATTGATGTGTAAATTAATCTAATACCTCCAATTATTCAGTAGCCGCAGATCAAGACTTGAGTCATTAGCACAGTTCAATTGGTTATTTTTCCTGGGATTACGCAGAGTTTGAGTTGCTCAGTTCTGTTTGGATGTATAAGCACAAGGACCCAGACAAGACAAGTAGCAGCAAAGCTATTTTGGTTTCTAATTATGGTTATCATGGCTGTAGAGGAAAGAGAACCTTTTTGATGTTCTCACTAATGAGGTTGGAAAATTGACTCTTTTGCACATCAGCAAATAGCTCGTGTGGATTCAGGAAAAATAGATGTATGGAGTTTTCCGTCTGGAGTGGGTGGAGAAAGCAAAGCACAGGGTGAGATTTGAATTATTATTATTATTATTAGGATCCCCATTAGCTGACGCCGTAATGTCAGCTAATCTTCCTGGGGTCCAACACAGAACTAAAAAGACATTACAAACAATTACAATTTACATGAAGACATTACAAACATTTAACAAGTGGACATTACAGACAATTAAAATACCTGACCGGTAATACATTTAACATTCAGAAGATGCTCTCTGGGATTAGTATCCATCCAGTAATATGGTTGATCGCATTAGATATTCTTTTATTGTTTTCTTGAAGGTGGATTTACTTTTTGCCTGAGAAATGGGTAAATAATTCCATTCATTGATGGCTCTGTATATAACTGTATATAACTATTTATCCTCAGGGGTATCAGATGACCTGAATTTTCTTGTGTGATTTCGTGGTTATGTTTGTTGCTAGTATACACTAATTGCTGTTTCTTGAAAAATAGTACATTTCCAATGAAAATCAGAAGACTGGATAGTAATTTGCTTTCAATGGGACGGCATGAGAGATTATTATGCATTCAGTTGACATTCATACAGATAGAAAAATGGCAGCCCTGTTCTGAGCAAGTTAGAGATTTTTTAGATTGTTTTTTGCTGCAGATAACCATATGGCAGGACAGTACTCTAGGTGTGATAAAATCAAAGACTGAATCACCTGATTCAGAGTGTTGGATGTTACATACTCTTGTTATAGCAATGCCCTTACCCATTTTAATTACAATGTTATATTGGACCAAGCACAAAACATTTTGTTTTAGAAATGTGTTATGCCACTCAGACAGAGTTCTTAGTTCTTTGCTCAGTACATCTGTTAGCTCATTATATGCTGATGCTATTCATTACTGAGGGCAAATCATTAGTCAAGACAGTGTAGAGGAGTGGGCCTAAGCAGCTGTCTTGAGGAACACCACAGTGTAAATCGTTACAGTCTGAAAAGCTACCATTAAAGAGAACTTTTTGCATTCTCCTGGACATATAGCTTTCCATCCAGTATAGAGCAGCAGACATAAAATGATAACATTTGAGATACTATCATACTGTCTCTCCTGAATTGAATTATTGAGGTTTATCTAAAAAGACATCCCATTTTCCTGTAGAGCTGAAGACAGACAGTGCCATTACCTATGGGAGATTAATCTGTGTATCTGTGTCTAATATTGTCGTGCCCTTCTTAGTCATTCTAAGACTAATGTATAGCCTTTATGGTCTTATTCATCCTGTAAACAGACAGATGAAACGGACCATTAAATTCAGCCTGCACCATTAAAAGCTCAAAACTGACAGTGGCTCAGGGCATAAACAGTGTCTGTTCCTCTCTGTGAGAGCCAAGCTCACAGTTTAACAGTCTAAATCTAATGAACTATATAAAGACCCTTAGAAGAGATTGGTACAACAGTTCAATGTTTTTCTCCTCTTTAGTATTCATCTGATGATCTGAAGATGTCACCGATAGACATGGCAGCTTTTTTGTGTTATTTCTTACATTTTTAGCCCAGAACGTTTTTTGTGTTAATATATACAGCCGGACATAACTTTTGGATATCAGAGCGACGGTAACTCACCAGCATTCTGACCAGAAATACAACTTTCCCAAATTGGATGCCTTGTTCGTACCCCCCAAAGCAATTTAACTTATTCCAGAGGCTGCTCCAAGACGCCGCCGCTGTTGAGAGAATGCCAAGAGTGTACAAAGCTGTCATAAAGGCAAAGGGTGGCTATTTAAGGAATCTCAAATATAAAATATATTTGATTTGTTTAACACTTTTTTGGTTACTACATGGTTCCATATGTGTTATTTCATAGTTTTGATGTCTTCACTGTTATTCTACAATGTAGAAAATAGTAAAAATAAAGAAAAACCCTTGAATGAGTAGGTGTGTCCAAACTTTTTGACGGGTACTGTACTCTGTTTCACAGAATCATGGCTCTCTCTGGATATACTGTCCCCGTCCATACAGCCAGCTGGGTTCTCAGTACATCGTGCAGACAGGAATAAAGAACTCTCTGGGAAGAAGAAAGGCGGAGGTGTATGTTTCATGATTAACTACTAATGGTGTGATTGGGATAACATACAGGAACTCAAGTCCTTTTGTTCACCCAACCTAGAATACCTCACAATCAAATGCCGACCATATTACCTCCAAAGAGAATTATCTTCGTTTATAGTCAAAGCCGTGTATATTCCCTCTCAAGCCGATACCACGACGGCCCTCAAGGAACTACACTGGACTTTGTGCAAACTGGAAACCACATATCCTGAGGCCGCATTCATTTTAGCCGGGAACTTTAACAAAGCAAATCTAAGGATAACACTACCAAAGTTCTATCAACACATTGCCTGTAGTACTCGTGCTTCAAAAACTCTCTCTGTTACTCTCCCTTCCGGGATGGCTACAAGGCCATCCCCTGCCCTCCCTTTGGCAAATCAGATCCTGACTCCATTCTACTTCTCCCTTCCTATAGGCAGAAACTCAAACAGGAAGTGCTAAGGTCCATTCATCGCTGGTCTGACCAATTGGAATTCATGCTTCTAGATTATTTTGATCATGCGGACTGGGATATGTTCCGGGTTGCCTCTGAGAATAACATTGACGCATACACTGACATGGTGACTGAGTTCATCAGGAAGAGTATAGGGGATGTTGTTCCCTACTGTGACTATTAAAACCTACCCAAACCAAAAACTGTGGATAGATGGCAGCATTTGCGCAAAACTGAAAGTGCGAACCACCACATTTACCCATGGAAAGGTGACTGGGAATATGGTCAAATACAAACAGTGCAGTTATGCCCTCCATAAGGCAATCAAAGAGGCAAAATGTCAGTACAGAGACAAAGTGGAGTCGCAATTCAACGGCTCAAACATGAGATGTATGTGGCAGGGACTCCAGACAATCGCGGATTACAAAGGGAAAACCAGCCACGTCGTGGACACAACGTCTTGCTCCCGGACAAGCTAAACACCTTCTTCACCCGTTTTGAGTATAGCACAGTGCCACCGACGCAGGCTTCTCCCGAGGACTGTGGGCTTTCGTTCTCCGTGGCCAATGTGAGTAAGACATTTAAGTGTGTTAACCCTCGCAAGGCTGCCGACCCAGACAGCATTCCTAGCCGCGTCCTCAGAGCATGCGCAGACCAGCTGGCTGGAGTGTTTACGGACATATTCAATCTCTCCCTATCCCAGTCTGCTGTCCCCACTTGCTTCAAGATGTCCACCATTGTTCCTGTACCCAAGAAAGTAAAGGTAACTGAACTAAATGACTATCATCATGAAGTGCTTTGAGAGGCTAGTTAAGGATCATATCACCTCCACATTACCTGACACCCTAGACCAACTTCAATTTGCATACCGCCCCAACAGATCGCTCTGCACACTGCCCTATCCCATCTGGACAAGAGGAATACCTATGTAAGAATACTGTTCATTGACTACAGCTCAGCCTTCAACACCATACTATCCTCCAAGCTCATCATTAAGCTCGCGGCCCTGGATCTGAACCCTGCCCTGTGCAACTAGGTCTTTGACTTCCTAACGGGCCGCCCCCAGGTGGTGAACGTAGGAAACAACACCTCCACTGCGCTGATCTTCAACACAGGGGCTCCACAAAGGTGCGTGCTCAGCCCACTCCTGTACTCCCTGTTCACCCATGACTGCGTGGCCACGCATGCCTCAAACTCAATCATCAAGTTTGTAGACGATACAACGGTAGTAGGCCTGATTACCAACAATGATGAGACAGCCTACAGGGAGGAGGTGAGGGCCCTGGCTCTCCAGAGGGTGGTGCAGTCTGCCCAACGCATCACCGGGGGCACACTGCCTGCCCTCCAGGACACCTAAAGCACCCGATGTCACAGGAAGGCCAAAAAGATCATCAAGGACATCAACCACCCAAGCCACGGCCTGTACACCCACTATCATCCAGAAGGTGAGGTCAGTACAGGTGCATCAAAGCTGGGACCAAGAGAATGAAAAACAGCTTATATCTCAAGGCCATCAGACTGTTAAATAGCCATCACTAGCAACTCCGGACTCCGACATTGCTTGTCCTAATATTTATATATTTCTTAATTCCATTCTTTTACTTTTAGTTTTGTGTGTATTGTTGTGATTTGTTAGATATTACTGCACTGTTGGAGCTAGGAACACCAGCATTTCACTACACATGCAATAACATCTGCTAAATATGTGTATGCGACCAATAACATTTGATTTGATTTGATTCGATGCCCCTTGACTTATTCCACATGTTTTTGTGTTACAGCCTGAATTCAAAATGGATTAAATATTATTTTTTTCTCACCCATCTACACACAATACCCCAGAATGACAAAGTGAAAACATGTTTAGAATTTTTTATTCTTTTTTACATGTGAGTTTTTCTGGGTAAGTCTTTGAGAGCTCTGTCAAATTGGTTGTTGATCATTTCTAGACAACCATTTTCAGGTCTTGCCATAGATTTTCAAGTAGATTTAAGTCAAAGCTGTAACTCGGCCACTCAGGAACATTCACTGTCTTCTTGGTAAGCAACTCCAGTGTAGATTTGGCCTTGTGTTTTAGGCTATTGTCCTGCTGAAAGGTGAATTCATCTCCCAGTGTCTGGTGGAAAGCAGACTGAACCAGTTTTTCCTCTTGGATTTTGCCTGTGCTTAGCTCCATTCCGTTTCTTTTTTATCCTGAAAAACTCCCCAGTCCTTAACGATTACAAGCATTTTTTGACAGTATTACTTTAGTGCCTTGTTGCAAACAGGATGCATGTTTTGGAATATTTTATTCTGTACAGGCTTCCTTCTTTCACTCTGTCAATTAGGTTAGTATTGTGGAGTAACTACAATGTTGCTGATCCATCCTCACTTTTCTCCTATCACAGCCATTAAACTCTGTAACTGTTTTAAAGTCACCATTGATCTCATGGTGAAATCCCTGAGCGGTTTCCTTCTTCTCCAGCAACTGAGTTAGGAAGGACACCTGTATCTTTGTAGTGACTGGATGTATTTTGATACACCATCCAAAGTGTAATTAATAACTTCACCATGCTCAAAGGGCTATTCAATGTCTGCTTTATCTTTTTTTACCCATCTACCAATAGGTATGCGAGGCATTGGAAAACCTCCCTGGTCCTTGTGGTTGAATCTGTGTTTGAAATGCACTGCTCGACTGAGGGACCTTACAGATAATTGTACGTGTGGGGGTACAGAGATGAGGTAGTCATTCAAAAATCACGTTAAACACTGTTATTGCACACAGAGTGAGTCCATGCAACTTATTCTGTGACTTGTTATGCACATTTCTACTCCTGAACTTTTTTAGGCTTGCTATAACAAAAGTGTTGAATACTTATTGACTCAAGACATCTCAGATTTTCATTTGTAATTAATTTAAAAAAAAAAAAAAAAAATCATGATTCCACTTTGACATTAATTATTGGGTATTGTGTGTAGGCCAGTGACAAATAATCTAAATTTAATCAATTTCAAATTTAGGCTGTAACACAACAAAATGTGGAAAAAGTCATGGGGTGTGAATACTTTCTGAAGGCACTGTATACAATGGTTTAACCTGTGCTTTTCAATTAGTTACACAAGTCAAAAAGAGGGCAGTAGGGTTTTTTTATGTTGAAAGAAGCTCATGTGCAACTATGAAAGTATACATTTTGTAGTGATGTTACTGTATTGTGTTTTCCCAAAGGGTTAACGGATTGGAGCCAGTGGTAGATAGAACAGTAAAAAGACCAGAACGTAACATACCTGTATGTGGTTCTATTATGCTCACATGATGTACTGCAGCATTTAGTAATGTTTCTGCTATTGTAAGCTCGACAGAATTCTCTCACCTTATGCTATACATAAGATATTTTCAAGATTGTAAATAAAAAAAGTACCATTGCACTCTCCCAGAAGTTTGGTTGGTGCATAACAGCTGTGAATTCAGATAAATAATCAAGTTTGATGGATCCGCACTCAAAATGATGTCACATAAAGCTTAATTCATTTTCCATATTTATTTTTATTTTTACTGCATCAGGAAAGTAAACACAGACGTTTCAGCGTAACAGCCTTCTTCAGTGTGTAGGTAAAACAATTTTCAATCATGAACAACATTTGTAGAGAACACAGATTGTGAGTTAATTTGATGGTCGTGGCATAAAACTGTCCTCCACTGATTTGTACAGTCAATGTTTGCTCAAACGCTAAACTATCTATCTATTTCTTTCCATCCTCTCCTCTTCCCCTCTTTCCTTCTTCCTTTCCAGAAAGTCTTTTCCGTCTCAGCATGCCACACTGGCATCCTTTGCCGCCGTCTACATCTCTGTGAGTAATCATCACACTCACACAAACACTCTACAGTATCACTCTCCTTCTTGGTCAAATAGCCCTTACACAGCCTGGAGGTGGGTTGGGTCAATGTCCTGTTGAAAAACAAATTATAGTCCCACTAAGCGCAAACCAGATGGGATGGTGTATCGCTGTAGAATGCTGTGGTAGTCATGCTGGTTAAGTGTGCCTTGAATTCTAAATAAATAACTGACAGTGTCACCAGCAAAGCATCCCCACACAATCACACCTCCTCCTCCATGCTTCACGGTGGGAACCACACATGCGGAGACCATCTGGTCACCCACACCGCGTCTCACAAAGACACGGCGGTTGGAACCAAAAATCTCAAATTTGGACTCATCAGACCAAAGGACAGATTTCCACCGGTCTAATGTCCATTGCTTGTGTTTCTTGGCCCAAGCAAGTCTCTTCTTCTTATTGGTGTCCTTTAGTAGTGGTATCTTTGCAGCAATTCGACCATGAAGGCCTGATTCACGCAGTCTCCTCTGAACAGTTGATGTTGAGATGTGTTACTTTAACTCTGTGAAGCATTTATTTGGACTGCAATTTCTGAGGCTGGTAACTCTAATGAACTTATCCTCTGCAGCAGAGGTAACTCTGGGTCTTCCATTCCTGTGGCATCCTCATGAGAGCCAGTTGCATCATAGCGCTTGATGTTTTTTGCGACTGCACTTGAAGAAAATTTAAAACTTCTTGAAATTTTCCGGATTGACTGACCTTCATGTCTTAAAGTAATGATGGACTGTTATTTCTCTTTGCTTATTTGAGCTGTTGTTGCCATAATACGGACTTGGTCTTTTACCAAATAGGGCTATCTTCTGTATACCCCCTCTACCTTGTCACAACACAACTGATTGGCTCAAACACATTAAGAAGGAAAGAAATTCCACAAATGAACTTTTAACAAGGCACACCTGTTAATTGAAATGCTTTCCAGGTGACTACCTCATGAAGCTGGTTGAGAGAATGCCAAGATTGTGCAAAGCTGCCATTAAGGCAAAGGGTGGCTACTTTGAAGAATCTAAAATATAACATATATTTTGATTTGTTTAACACTTTTTTGTTTACTACATGATTCCATATGTGTTATTTCATAGTTTTGATGTCTTCAGTATTATTCTACAATGTAGAAAATTGTAAAACAAATAAAGAAAAACCCTTGAATGAGTATGTAACTTTTGACTGGTACTGTATACTCTATCTATCTATCTATCTATCTATCTATCTATCTATCTATCTATCTATCTATCTATCTATCTATCTATCTATCTATCTATCTATCTATCTATCTATCTATCTATCTATCTATCTATCTATCTATCTATCTATCTATCTATCTATCTATCTATCTATCTATCTATCTATCTATCTATCTATCTATATCTATCTATATCTATATATATAGGGGTGGGTTGGGGTCGGGGTGAGGAACCTACATCTGATTCAGGCCAACCTTTTTATGTAGTCTAGGCCCCAATGATGTAGACTAGAAACCAATATTTTATCAGATCAATTATGCCATTTGCATGTTGTATATGTGGGTACTATGTAGCTGTATGCGTGTACTATGTCGTTGTTTGTGTGTACTATGTAGTTGTATGAGTGTGCTATGTAGTTGAATACAGTGCCTTCAGAAAGTATTTACAACCCTTTCCCCATTTTGTTGTGTTACTAAGTGGGATTAAAATGAATTGAATTGTCATTTTTTGTCAATGATCTACAGAAAATACTATGTAATGTCAAAGTGGAAGAAAATTTTACCTTTTACTACTATGGGCTAAATCAGGGTCACACAGTGTTTCTTGGTAGTCTTAAACAAATCTACTTTGAAACAAAAGTATACACATCACACACATGGTTCTGGGCTTGAAAAAAGAAGACACCTGTACCATGTCAGCTATAGAGTTGAAATCTATTCAATTTTGAGTTTGCATCACAATATTACACTTTATATAGAAGTTTCAGAAGACTGAAATATACAGTGAGGGAAAAAAGTATTTGATCCCCTGCTGATTTTGTACGTTTGCCCACTGACAAAGACATGATCAGTCTATAATTTTAATGGTAGGTTTATTTGAACAGTGAGAGACAGAATAACAACAACAAAATCCAGGAAAACGCATGTCAAAAATGTTATAAATTGATTTGCATTTTAATGAGGGAAATGAGTATTTGACCCCCTCTCAATCAGAAAGATTTCAGGCTCCCAGGTGTCTTTTATACAGGTAACGAGCTGAGATTAGGAGCACACTCTTAAAGGTTTCATGAGCTGAAATAAAAGATCCCAGACATTTTCCGTACACACACAAAGCTTATTTCTCTCAAATTTGTTTACATCCCTGTTAGTGAGCATTTCTCCTTTGCCAAGATAATCCATCCATTTTACAGGTATGGCATATCAAGAAGCTGATTAAACAGCATGATGATTACACAGATGCACCTTGTGCTGGGGACAATAAAAAGCCACTCTAAAATGTGCAGTTTTGTCACACAACACAATGCCACAGATGTCTCAAGTTTTGAGGGAGCATGCAATTGGCATGCTGACTGCAGGAATTTCCACCAAAACTGTTGCCAGAGAATTGAATGTTAATTTTTCTACCATAAGCAGCTTCCAATATAGTTTTTTGAGAATTTTGCAGTGCATCCAATCTGCCTCACAACGGTAGACCACTTGTAACCACGCCATCCCAGGACCTCCACATTCGGCTTCTTCACCTGCAGGATCGTCTGAGTCCAGACACCCGGATAGCTGATGAAACTGTGGGTTTGCACAACCAAATAATTTCTCCACAAACTGTCAGAAACCATCTCAGGGAAGCTCATCTGCGTGCTCGTTGTCCTCACCAGAATCTTGACCTGACTGCAGTTCGGCGTCGTAACCGACTTCAGTGGGCAAATGCTCACCTTCGATGGCCACTGGCATGATGGAGAAGTGTGCTCTTCACGGATGAATCCCGGTTTCAACTGTACCGGGCAGATGGCAAACAGCATGTATGGTGTCGTGTGGGCGAGCGGTTTGCTGATGTCAACGTTGTGAACAGAGTGCCCCATGGTGGCGGTGGGGTTATGGTATGGGCAGGCATAAGTTATGGACAACGAACAGAATTTCATTTTACTGATGGCAATTTGAATTCACAGAGATACCCTGACGAGATCCTGAGGCCCATTGTCGTGCCATTCATCTGCCACCATCACCTCACGTTTCAGCATGATAATGCAATTCTTGGAAGCTGAAAATGTCCCAGTTCTTCCATGGCTGCATACTCACCAGACATGTCACCCATTGAGTATGTGTGGGATGCTCTGGATCGACGTATACGACAGCGTGTTCCAATTCCCGCCAATATCCAGCAACTTCACGTAGCCATTGAAGAGGAGTGGGACAACATTCTACACGCCACAATCAACAGCCTGATCAACTCTATTCGAAGGAGATGTGTCGCGCTGCATGAGGCAAATGGTGGTCACACCAGATACTGACTGGTTTTCTGATCCACGCGCCTACCTTTTTTAAAAAGGTATCTGTGACCAACAGATGCATATCTGTATTTCCAGTCATGTGAAATTCATAGATTGGGGCCTAATTAATTTATTTCAGTTAACTGATTTCCTTATATGAACTGTTAACTCAGTAAAATCTTTGAAATTGTTGCATGTTGCGTTTATATTTTTGTTCAGTGTATCTTGATTGGATAAGGATTCAACCCCCTGAGTCAATACATGTTAGAATCACCTTTGGCAGCAATTACAGCTATGTCTTTCTGGGTAAGTCTCTAAAAGCTTTGCGCACCTGGATTGTTCATTATTTGCCCATTATCCTTAAAAAAATTATTCAAGCACTGTCAAGTTGGTTGTTGATGTCACGTTCGTTGAATGACGGGTCAGACCAAGGCGCAGCGTGATATGCGTACATGTTTATTGAACTTAATAAACACACGACAAAACAACAAAGGAAACGAAACGTGAAGTCCAAGGTAGCACACACAACATACCTTAACCGGAACAAGATCCCACAACCCACTAGTGCCAATAGGCTGCCTAAGTATGATCCCAAATCAGAGACAACGAGCTACAGCTGCCTCTGATTGGGAACCACACTGGCCAACATAGATCTACACATAATAGATCGAAACATAGAACACACACAACAAAGAATATACACACCCTGACTCAACATTTAAGCGTCCCCTGAGTCAGGGCGTGACAGTACCCCCCCCCCCCCCCCTGACCGCACAACATAAACATAACAGGGTAGGGGCCGGGTGGGCATTCCGCCTCGGAGGCGGATCCGGCTCGGGGCGTGACGACCTCTCACTCTCCGCCTCCCTGTTGCGCCCCTGGTCTGGTCTGGACCTCGGCGCACTGCTTCCCCTCTCCTTCCTCCCACGATACGCCAGGCCCTGTCTGGACCCTGGTGTGGGAGACCCCGAGCCTGGAGAGGGGCTGACGTCATGGTCTGGACTGGAGCCACTGACCGGAGCTGGACTGGGCACCGGTGGAGCGGACTGCTCTGGCACCGGAGTGGAGTCGCTGACCGGAGCTGGATCAGGCACCGGTGGAGCGGACTGCTCTGGCTCCGGAGTGGAGCCGCTGACCGGAGCTGGACTAGACCCCGGTGGAGCGGACTGCTCTGGCTCCGGAGTGGCGCAGCTGACCGGAGCTGGATCAGGCACCGGTGGAGCAGACTGCTCTGGCTCCGGAGTGGAGCAGCTGACCGGAGCTGGATCAGGCACCGGTGGAGCAGACTACTCTGGCTCCGGAGTGGAACAGCTGACCGGAACTGGATCAGGCACCGGTGGAGCGGACTGCTTTGACTCCGGAGTGGAGCAGCTGACCGGTGCCGGACCAGGCACCGGTGGAACGGGCACGGGCCGTGCCGGACTGGACAAACGCACCACTGGTCTGGTGCGAGGAGCAGGCACGGGCCGGACCGCACTAGGAACACGCACCACTGGCTTGGTGCGAGGGGCAGGAACGGGCCGGGCCGGACTGGCGACGCGCACCACTGGCTTGGTGCGAGGAGCAGGAACAGGCCGGGCCGGGCCGGACTGGACTGGCGACGCGCACCACTGGCTTGGTGCGAGGAGCAGGAACAGGCCGGGCCGGGCTGGTGACGCGCACCACTGGCTTGGTGCGAGGAGCAGGAACAGGCCGGGCCGGGCTGGCGACGCGCACCACTGGCTAATGCGAGGAGCAGGAACAGGCCGGGCCGGACTGGAGACGCGCACCACTGTCTTGGTGCGAGGAGCAGGAACAGGCCTGGCCGGGCTGGCGACGCGCACCACTGGCTTGGTGCGAGGAGCAGGAACAGGCCGGGCCGGGCTGGCGACGCGCACCACTGGCTTGGTGCGAGGAGCAGGAACAGGCCGGGCCGGGCTGGCGACGCGCACCACTGGCTTGGTGCGAGGAGCAGGAACAGGCCGGGCCGGACTGTGGAGGCGGACTGGAGGTCTAGAGTGGAGAGCTGGCACAACCCGTCCTGGCTGGCTGCCCACTTTCGAACTACACGTACGGGGTGCTGGCACAGGACGCACTGGGCTGTGCACGCGCACTGGCAATACAGTTCGTAGAACTGGCGCAGGATATGCGGGACCGAGGAGGCGTTCTGGAGACCAGGAGCGTTGAGCCGGCACACCCCGTCCTGGCTGGATGCCCATCTTCGCACGGCACGTGCGTGGTGCAAGTACAGAACGTACAGGACTGTGCCGGCGCACTGGCGACACAGTACGTAGCTCCGCATAACACGGAGCTTGCCCAGTCATACGCCTCTTTGCGTGAGTACGGGGAGTTGGCTCTGCTCTAACCCTAGGCTCCGCCAACCACCCTGTGTGCCCCCCCAAAAAATTGTTTTTTATTGGGGCTGCTTCTCGGGCTTCCTCCTCGACCGGCCTCCTCCGTGTTGCCGTTGCTCCTCTCCTGCCTGGGCATCTAACTTAGCCCATGGTCCTTTCCCCGCAAATATCTCCTCCCATGACCACAATTTGGCCACCTGTGACATGGCCATCCGCTCCACCTGGGCACGCTGCTTGGTCCTCGTTTGGTGGGATCTTCTGTCACGTTCGTTGAATGACGGGTCAGACCAAGGCGCAGCGTGATATGCGTACATGTTTATTGAACTTAATAAACACACGACAAAACAACAAAGGAAACGAAACGTGAAGTCCAAGGTAGCACACACAACATACCTTAACCGGAACAAGATCCCACAACCCACTAGTGCCAATAGGCTGCCTAAGTATGATCCCAAATCAGAGACAACGAGCTACAGCTGCCTCTGATTGGGAACCACACCGGCCAACATAGATCTACACATAATAGATTGAAACATAGAACACACACAACAAAGAATATACACACCCTGACTCAACATTTAAGCGTCCTCTGAGTCAGGGCGTGACAGTTGATCATTGCTAGACAGACATTTGCCATAGATGTCTTGCCATAGATGTTCTTGCCAATTTAACTCAATACTGTATCTAGGCCACACAGAAAAATGTAATGTCATCTTGGTAAGCAACTCCAGTGTATATTTGGTAATTGTCCTGCTGAAAGGTGAATTTGTCTCCCAGTGCCTGCTGGAAAGCAGACCGAACCAAGATTTCCTCTAGGAGTTTGCCTGTGCTTAGCTCTATTCCGTTTATTTTTATCCTAAAAAACTCCCTAGTCCTTGCAGATGACAAGCATACCCATAACATGATGCAGCCACCCCCATGCTTGAAAATATGAAGAGTGGTACTCAGTGATGTGTTGTGTTTGATCTGTCCCAAACAGATAAAAATAAAAAGTAAAATGTTTTGGCACATTTTTTGCAGTATTATTTTATTCTGTACAAGCTTCCTTCTTTTCACTCTGTCATTTATGTTAGTATAGTGGAGTTACTACAATGTTGTTAATCCATCCTCAGTTATCTCCTGTCACAGCCATTAAACTCTATAACTGTTTTAAAATCACCATTGGCCTCATGGTGAAATCCCTGAGCACCTGCATCTTTTTAGTGACAGGTTGTATTGATACACCATCCAAAGTGTAATTAATAACTGCACAATGCTCAAATGGATATATATTTTTGTCCATCTAGAAATAGGTGCCCTTTGCGCACCATTGGAAACCTCCCTGGTCTTTGCGGTTGAATCTGTGCCTGAAATTCACTGCTTGACTGAGGGACCTTACATATAATTGTATCTGTTGGGTACAGAGATGGGGTAGTCATTGTTAAGAAATCATGTTAAACACTATTATTGCACACAGAGTGAGTCTATGCAACTTATTATGTGACTTGTTAAGCACATTCTTACTCATGAACTTATTTAGGCTTGCCATAACAAAAGGGTTGAATACTTCTTGACTCAAGACATTTCAGCTTTTGATTTTTAATTAATTTGTAAACATTTCTAAAAACATAATTCCACTTTGACATTATGGAGTATTGTGTGTAAATCAATGAAACAAAATCTCAATTTAATCAATTTTAAATTCAGGCTGTAACACAACAAAATGTGGAAAAAGTCAGTACTTTCTGGGCACTCTAGGTCCACTATGTAGTCTATATAGTATTTTAGCTTTTACATACAGCACATCCAATACATCACACTGTCAGACCGAATATCTATAAACGTCTCCCATAATCCTCAAGGTTAGACTAACAACAGAAGTGTTTTCCTGCACCACTATAGCAGATGAGTCTGTAAATGCTGACAGGCACTAAAGAACCCAAAGCCTCAGGTGCCTGAGGGTAGATGATGCATGCCGCTAGGCCGCATTAGCCACTACTCACAGGAGAGACAGTAGCCGACCTGGGTTCAAATAGTATTTGTTGTATTTTGACTACTTTAGCTACACTTGATCAAGCTTACCTTGTGCATTGGAAACCAAAGGAGTAGTCCCAAAAGTGCCACAAAAAAAAAATATATATATATATCTGACACTCCAGGAAGGCTATATCAAACGCTGAAATTTTTTGAAAACAAATACTATTTGAACCCAGGTCTGAACAGTAGCGAGCACTGGCTGTGTCCACAGTAGGGGCTGGTAGTAATAAATCTGCTGTAATAAAGTCGCTTTGAGGGGGAGGATGCTGGATGCTGACTCACAGCTGCTGGAACACGACCAGACAATCATACTATACAAATCCAGAAAATGTGTCCCAAATGGCACCATATTCCCTACATAGTGCACTGCTTTAGACCAGAGCTCTATGGGCCCTGGTCAAACGTAGTGCACAATTATAGGTAATAGGATCCCATTTGGGATGCACACAGTTCTTTCTCATAGGGGGAGACATGCAGCAGCATCTAGAGCTAAATGAATGGATTTGCATGGAGCTGTGTGGTTTAATGTGCTTAGTTGACATTTTTTAATGGAAAGGCATGGCAATGTTATTCATTCATGTAGGCCTAGTTGTGGTTTAAAATCTCGCAGACAATGTGGATTGTTGCATAAGGATTTCAGCCACAAGCTAAGGTAGCTGAGTCAATTGCAGTTGTTGATGATGATAATGATGATGATGATGATGATGATGATGATGATGATGATGATGATGATGATGATGATGATGATGATAATGATGATGATGATCTCAACAACGACAATTATGATGATGATGACATGAATGACGATAATGATAATGATGATATTGATGATGACAATGCCTTTGTGTCCTTGGTCATCTGTAGATGTACTTCAACAGCACACTGACTGAGTCTTCTAAACTACTGAAACCTCTGCTGGTCTTCTCCTTCATCATCTGTGCTATCATTTGTGGGCTGACCCGGATCATCCAATACAAGAACCATGCTATTGATGTCTACCTGGGCTTTCTGCTGGGCGGGGGAATAGCTGTCTACTTAGTACGTTCTGCTGATACTTTCTTAGAGATACTTCTTATTGTTTGTGTTTTATGGTATATAGACTGCTACAGATAGCTATTTTACTGATGAAAAATCCTCATTTGATGTACAGTTGCTACAGTACTTGTTTGTTTGAAAGGATTTGGACTGAAGAGATTGTGTGTATGAGAGATCCTATTTTAAAGCTCTGTCTCTCCTCTGTCTCCAGAGTCTTTATGCAGTGGGGAACTTTCAGCCCAATGAGGATAGCTGCAACTGCCCTCCTCCCCAGCCCTGTGTTCCCTGTCCTTTACCTCACATCAGCCAGGAGGCAGTGCGCCATTTACAGGTGAAGAGCTGCAGCGGCAATATGGACGGCCTCTCTACCTCCCACTCTGAGGGCATCCTCCACCATAACCCCCACCACCGAGACCCCTCCTCTGGTTCCCTCACCAACCTGAAGAGGTCCAGCGCTGACGTGGAGGTCATAACCTCACCCCGCAGCCCCATGGGAAAGGAGAGCATGGTGACTGTTTATTGAATGTAATTAGTATGCTTGCTTCAGCAAGACCACAGCAGATATTCAACATACTTTATTTTACTATATTGGTCTTTCAGTATTTTTACAGGTTACTAAAAATAGTTATTAAAAACATTTTGCTGTAACATAACTTAAACAATTATTTTGAATAAATAAGGTTACAAATTGCTACCCTCAGGTGACGTTCAGCCACACCCTTCCCCGTGTCCACACCCCAGCGATGGACACCGGCACGCGCCGCAACACCACCATCCACCATAGTCACCATGTCTCCATGGACTCCTCCCGCTCCAAACAGCTCCTCTCTCAGTGGAAGAGCAAGAACCAAGAGAGCCGAAAGCACTCCCTGCAGGTTAAACAATTAATACAATTTATAATTTTATAACTAATGATATGTTTATATAATGCTTGTTTCTTCTCATCTTTAAACGCATTGAAATGCATCTTTCTTTCTGAAATGAAAAGAGCTATAGAAGTTGAATAAATATGTTTTCGTCTTCTTCTTTTTCTTCTTCTTATTAGGTGATGGAGGGCGAGGTGGCCCAGTCACCCCACCACCGGGGGAGCATGGACTCCATGAGGTACAGCTCCGAGCCCTCGGCCGTGGGGATAAACGGTGTCGATCTGCCAACGCAGTATGTGAAGCTAGCCACCGGGGCCAGCACCACACTACCCAGAGACTGCAGCGGCATCACAGGAGGGGCCAGAGTCTCTATGCAGTCCCGACCTGGTTCTTCACAGCTGGTCCATATCCCAGAGGAGACCCATGAGAACCTCAACAACCCCTTGCCCAAGATGGGTGGGGGAGATGTAGGCGGCGGTGATATATACAATAGTGGGGCTCATGTTAACTGGGTGAAGGCGGCTGAGAAGGCAAATGCCCCATGCATGACTATCAATGGCAGCCAGCAGCCGCGGATCATGCAGGTGATTGCCATGTCCAAACAGCAGGGTCTGCTTCAGACTCATTCCAAGAGCATGGACGAGGGCTGCATGGACGGCTACACCGGAGGGTCCCTCCGCTATAGAGCCCTGAAAGAACCAAATCCCATGGGCACGACATGCAGCACGTTGGGCAGCTCCGTGGGCAGCATCTCAGGCAGCACTGGAGCCATCGTGAGGGTGGACGCCCATCCTGAGAACAACAACAACCCCATGGTTCATGCCCCTTCGACGGATATTAGCAGTGGCGGTTCCTGGAAGACCTGGAGGTCCCAGGACCAGTGTGGGGGTGGTGGTATCAGTGGGTGCAGCCAGGGCCAGTCCTTCGAGCTGAATGACCTGAACAGAGATTCAGAGAGCTGCGAGTCCCTGTCCATGAGGGACGGCTCCATTGGCTCCATAGACAGGAGGAGACAGGCGAATCCCACTGCTGCCACCAATGCACAGAACGCAGGGGGCGGGGAGCACTCCCTCCACCTGCAGCAGGGCATCACCACCATCAGAGTGACCCCAGTAGAGGGGGGTGAGGTCCCCTCAGAGCCCCACTCTGTGACCTCCAGCCGGGACTCCACGCTCCGGAGGAAAGGGAAAGGGAATATCATCCTGATCCCAGAGCGAGGGAACAGCCCGGATAACACCAGGAACGTTTTCTACAAGGGGACTTCATCAACACCCGGTCTGTAGAGAAGAGTGTGGTCACTTGGCTGTCTCCCAAATGGCACTGTATTCCCTATATAGTACCTGCTTTTGACCAGGACCCATAGGGATCTGGTCAAAAGTAGTGCACTATATAGGAAAGAGGGTGCCATTTGGCATACTGCCCTTGTTCACTTGGATGTTGACTGAATTTTCAAGAAAATAACAGTGTCAGTGGGAGGGATTGTTGCACTGTTGGGGATGTTGACCTCTCCCACTGCATCTGTGATAAGAGCCAATCCATCTCCAAACGTATCCAGATACATTTTATTAGTCACAAAGCAGGCTTTATTCAGCATGATATTTGTAATTGTTCCCACAAAAGCACAACCTTGTTGGTGTTGTAGAGTGGTTTACTATGTTCTTATGTACTCTAATAGAAGCATAATAACACTGGAATTGTGTCCAATTTGAAATATTTTCAAAAGTGGGTTATCAAAGTTTTTGTTTTCCTTTTTTTCCGCAAAGTTCCATACTACCCCTATGTAATGTTTTAGTGGGATATTCCAAAGTTGTGCACCATAACTATATAAACGAAAATCCTTTAATTGCCTGCATCGTAAATCGTTTTGAACTTGGTGCTAAACCACCCACACTATTTAGATCAGTGTTGTCAAAATTATTTTGCCCCTGTGCCTGCATTAGGGATTCAAAAATTAGTTATATTTCCTCGCCGTCAAAATTTGCAAGAAATAGTCCTCTATCCATCAATTCTGAAATGTTCAATGCTCCCTGACTGTCTGGCTTTCATTTTGGTGATAATTAGCGAGCTGGACACAGTCAAGAAACTGTATGAATGTAGGACCATTATCATTTCTACCCAGTTTGATTTAGTTTTAGTAATTTTTAAGTATATTGAGTTCTTACTCAAACCACCCACAGGCCGGAATGGACCCCCGTATGTTTGACACCCCGGATTTAGATGAAATACTGTGCATAGAGTACAAATAAATAGACAGAAAATTAGGAACTTGATATAGTTAGGAACTACCTTTTGTATTATTTGCTGTATAGATGCCACATACCCTAGAGACAACTGTGTTGATGACCATAAGTGCTTAGCATTCCTACTGTAGCTAAATTCAATATGCTGTGAACTGCACAAAAACTGTGGTTCCTACACCTTTATATTCAATGACCAGGTTGTGTTTGTTCTATCACAATAACACTGTTTGGATTTATTCTACCAACATACTGTACATGATTTACATAGTGGCTGCATCCCAAATGGCCAACTTGGACTCAGGGGTAGACGTAACATAGTAAAAGTAAATCTGTCTCCCTCCATTTGTCATGATATGTTACGAATCGTATGGTATGTATTAATTTGTGTATGTCCATCATCCATTTCGTATGATACGTTACGAATTGCAATTCGTACCATATGTTACAAATTTGCAATATGTATGATATGTTACGAATTCCAATTTGTTGTGGCTAACGTTAGCTAGCTAGGTGGCTAGGTGGTTACCGTTAGCTAGGCTAGGGGTTAGGGGTTAAGGTTAGGGTTAAGGTTAAGGTTAGGAGTTAGTGTTAGGTGTTAGTGGAAGGGTTAGCTAACATCTTAAGTAGTTGCAAAGTAGCAAAAAAATAGTAAGTATTTGCAAAGTTGCTAATTAGCGAAAATGCAAAAATGGTCTTGAAGTGATTCAAACAATGCAACCTTTCAGTTGCAGGCGTTCACCTTATACGATGAGCCGTCCACCCCGACCAACCTCCCTCCATTTGTTATCCTTATGTCTTATGTAACCATACCAAACGTAACATATCGTACTAATTTGACTGTCACAGGTTTATGTTTACTACAGTATGTTACGTCTTGTCTTTGAGGCTAGGCTGAAATGGCACACTATTCCTGATATATGTAGGGAATAGGGTGCTATTTGGGACTCAAAAAGCTGTGTGTGTGTGTGTGTGTAAACTGTCATGCAGACTACACTGATATATTGGCCGGTTTAAAATGCTCATTCTACTTTCTTTACAAATCTTTCTTAGTAGCATTTGAGTCATAGGCTCTGGGTATCATGACTGAAACTGTCTCTGTAAAACACTGTGCTTCTCTGTGATATAAGTTACACTGTAGCAGAGGACAGAGGTATTCTGTTCACTCCTTGTATATTTTACAGTTGAGTAGACACAGTAAAGGTAAAGTGGTGATTCTTGTACATGTTATCTATTGATGACAAGAGTGTACTTTTACTCCAGGCTTTTTCTTCTGCTTTTGACTTCTATTTTATCTTGGGTTACGATTCCATTTTATATTTCAGATAATTTTCCATTGCAAGGACCTTAATACTGTATTAATTATTAAACTGTGCATATCAATCATATCTAATTGAGGTTTTATTCTAGCTACTATAAGAAGGATTTGACCCAATGTTATGAGACTGTGATCTATGAGGTATTTTTAGACTGCTTTTCTTTCCTTTTATTACTTTTGAATAATGAACTATTTGTGCCAAAGGCTATCTTTAACGAAACATATTTATATATCAAGCCTATTCTATATTACTAATTTAAGCAATGTAGCCCTCTGCATGGTCATTCTGAGATGCTGTAGAACATAGAGTATTATTGTAAATGATGCCTTTATCCAATTGTTCGTATAAAAAAAGAAACAAGTTGATTGACAATCTTTTTAACAAGATATACAGTATATTATCATATCAGGTCCCTATTTTTCAGGTTGTTTTTTTAATTTGATAGATTGTAACTGAAAATGAGAACTGGTTCTCAATCAATATATGAAATTGTAGGTAATGTTTGGTATATATAAAGTGTGTTATTTATTATTACACTGTGGTCAAAGAGAAGATATTTAGATAAAACTGGTGCAAATTGAGAATGAATGATTTCTGCATGCTTTCTAGGATGTCCTTGGTTGGTTTATCTCCACAAATCCTTCTGAACATTCGGTGCACATGTATCAGGGTAGATGGCAATTGTGTGTTGTCTCAATATTGGAATAAATGTTTGCTATAGAGAACCCAGCATTCTTGCTCCTCTGATTTGAAGTGCAATATTGATGCCAGTTACTTCCCAAAGTACATCTTGTGAGTGTCACGACCGTCTTCCAAATGAGTAGACCAAAGCGCAGCGCGTTGAGCGAACATGACTTTATTAATTCAAAGTCTGGAACAAAACAACAAAACAAGAACGATTCGTGAAGTCCTCTGCAATACTGACAGAACATGGAACAAAAACCCACAACACCCAAAGGAAAACATACAGATAAATATGGCTCCCAATCAGAGATAACGAGCCGACAGCTGACACTCGTTACCTCCGATTGGGAGTCACATGACTACACAAGAACTAACCAAAACCACACACACCCAAATGAACACACCCTATTCCCAACCTAACCAAAACAAACCCCCACAAAACGAATACACCCTGGCTCAAATACAAGTCCCGGAGCCAGAGTGTGACAGTACCCCCCCCTAAAGGCGCGGACTGCGACCGCGCCTCAACTAGGGCTAACCAAGGGAGGGCTGGGTGGGCATACCTCTTCGGCGGTGGTTCTGGCTCTGGTCGTGGTCCCCACCCCACCATAGTCACTACCCCGCTTCCGTAGCCTCCTCCAACTGACCACCCTCCAACTTACCCCCACCGGATTAAGGGGCAGCACCGGACTAAGAGGCAGCACCGGACTAAGGGTCAGCACCGGACTAAGGGGCAGCACCAGGATAAGGGGCAGCACCAGACTAAGGGGCAGCACCGGACTAAGGGGCAGCACCGGACTGAATGGCAGATCCTGGCTGGCTGGCTCATGGCTGGCTGACGGATCTGGCTGCTCATGGCTGGCTGACGGATCTGGCTGCTCATGGCTGGCTGACGGATCTGGCTGCTCATGGCTGGCTGACGGATCTGGCTGCTCATGGCAGGCTGACGGATCTGGCTGCTCATGGCTGGCTGACGGATCTGGCTGCTCATGGCAGGCTGACGGATCTGGCTGCTCATGGCTGGCGGAAGGCTCTGGCTGATCCTGTCTGGCGGACGGCTCTGGCTGATCCTGTCTGGCGGAAGGCTCTGGCTGATCCTGTCTGGCGGAAGGCTCTGGCTGATCCTGTCTGGCGGAAGGCTCTGGCTGATCCTGTCTGGCGGAAGGCTCTGGCTGATCCTGTCTGGCGGAAGGCTCTGGCTGCTCCTGTCTGGCGGAAGGCTCTAGCGGCTCCTGTCTGGCGGAAGGCTTTAGCGGCTCCGGTCTGGCGGACGGCTCTGAAGGCTCATGGCAGACGGGCGGCTTTGCAGGCTCAGTACAGACGGGCAGTTCATGCAGCGCTTGGCAGACGGACAGTTCAGACGGCGTTGGGCAGACAGGCAGTTCAGGCGCCTTTGGGCAGACGGGCAGTTCAAGCGCCGTTGGGCAGACGGGCAGTTCAGGCGCCGTTGGGCAGACGGGCAGTTCAGGCGCCGTTGGGCAGACGGCAGACTCTGGCCGGCCGAGACGCACTATAGGCCTGGTGCGTGGTGCCGGAACTGGTGGTCCCGGGCTGAGGACACGCATCTCAGGGCTAGTGCGGGGAGCAGCAACAGGCCGGGCTGGGCTGGCGACGCACACCGTAGTTCTAGTGCGTGGAGCAGGAACAGGCCGGACCGGGCTGGCGACGCACACCGTAGACTTGGTGCGGGTGGCAGGAACAGGCCGGACCGGGCTGGCGACGCGCACCGTAGACTTGGTGCGGGTGGCAGGAACAGGCCGGACCGGGCTGGCGACGCGCACCGTAGACTTGGTGCGGGTGGCAGGAACAGGCCGGACCGGGCTGGCGACGCGCACCGTAGACTTGGTGCGGGTGGCAGGAACAGGCCGAACCGGGCTGGCGACGCGCACCGTAGACTTGGTGCGGGTGGCAGGAACAGGCCGGACCGGGCTGGCGACGCGCACCGTAGACTTGGTGCGGGTGGCAGGAACAGGCCGGACCGGGCTGGCGACGCGCACCGTAGACTTGGTGCGGGTGGCAGGAACAGGCCGGACCGGGCTGTGGAGACGGATAGGAGGCCTGGAGTGAACAGCGGCCACCACCCGTCCTGGCTGAATGCCTACCCTCACACACTCTGTGTGAGGCATCCGCACAGGACGTACAGGGCGGTGTACCCCTGGCCTGGTGGCCTCCTGGATACTCCCCCTTTTCTCCTCCGTCAGCCCCGTCGTCCATGCCGTGTGCCCCCCCCTAAAAAATTTCTGGGGTTGACTCACGACCGTCCGACGACGACCCTGATCACGCCGTAGCTCCTCTCTACGGCGCGCCTCCACCGTCTCACTCCATGGCCGGCGATCCATCCCGGCCAGGATTTCCTCCCAGGTCCAGGACCCCTGCCCGTCCAAGATCTGCTCCCACGTCCAGGCTGCCTGCTCCTGGACACGCTGCTTGGTCTTGGTATGGTGGGTTTTTCTGTCACGACCGTCTTCCAAATGAGTAGACCAAAGCGCAGCGCGTTGAGCGAACATGACTTTATTAATTCAAAGTCTGGAACAAAACAACAAAACAAGAACGATTCGTGAAGTCCTCTGCAATACTGACAGAACATGGAACAAAAACCCACAACACCCAAAGGAAAACATACAGATAAATATGGCTCCCAATCAGAGATAACGAGCCGACAGCTGACACTCGTTACCTCCGATTGGGAGTCACATGACTACACAAGAACTAACCAAAACCACACACACCCAAATGAACACACCCTATTCCCAACCTAACCAAAACAAACCCCCACAAAACGAATACACCCTGGCTCAAATACAAGTCCCGGAGCCAGAGTGTGACAGTGAGTTGCATATCACTGATCTAGTGCTTTACTGCAGTTATGTTGTCTCAATGTAGAATAAGAAGCTTCTACTGCTAAACATGCCAGATTTTTTAGGTGGCAGCTCTTGATGACAAAACTCTGGCTTCTTCACTGCCTGGAGGAGTTAGTGGTGGTGACGTTTGATCAGAGCATTCAGTGTTATCAAAGACCTGCTTTGAGCATCCTCCTGAAGTACTGAAGTCTTCCCTGTCTCAGGATTACCTAGGTCAGATAACAGACAGATCTTGGCCGTGTCACAAATGCCACTCTATTCCCTATATAGTGTACCACTTTTGACCAGAGCCGTATGGATCCAGTCAAAAGTTGTGTAAGGAATAGAGTGTCATTTGAGACATAGATCTCCTCTCCTTTCTGCTTCTGTACTTGATAGCAGGGGAGATAAACACCAAAGCTATTCATACATACAAAACCTTTTATTAAACTTCAATAAAGGAGCATTCATTTCACAGTTATTTAAAGGCAGATCGACAAAAAAGTAAAATATTTTCTCAGCTACTCTCACTCGCGCTCACTCGCGCATGCACTCTATTTCTATCTATCCATCTCTTTCTCTCTTTCTCTTTCTCTCTCTCTATCCCTATCGCTCTCTTTCTCTCTCATACACACACAAATCTCACTGAGTGTATAGGAGAAGCGGACCTGGTTAGCATTGCCAAGTGTAATTATCATCATTGAGTCCAATGTAGGTCATTGAATTGACCTACATTAAAGGAGAACGCTCTCAGGGAAATCTTATCTTGGAGAAGGAAATGGAATGATCTCAAGAAGAAGAGAGGCTGCATGGAAAAACCAGTATGGCTACAACACAACCACGTACTGTATATGTGAACTGGGTTTGGACACACACACACAGGCACACGCACACACACACCCCTTACGGAAAAACCACATGAATTGCACGTGATCACGTGATCTTTTGTGATCACGTGAGCTTATGTGAAGTTAATGTTATACAGTGGGGATAAAAAGTATTTAGTCAGCCACCAATTGTGCAAGTTCTCCCACTTAAAAAGATGAGAGAGGTCTGTAATTTTCATCATAGGTACACGTCAACTATGACAGACAAATTGAGAAAAAAAATCCAGAAAATCACATTGTAGGATTTTTAATGAATTTATTTGCAAATTATGGTGGAAAATAAGTATTTGGTCACCTACAAACAAGCAAGATTTCTGGCTCTCACAGACCTGTAACTTCTTCTTTAAGAGGCTCCTCTGTCCTCCACTCATTACCTGTATTAGTGGCACCTGTTTGAACTTGTTATCAGTATAAAAGACACCTGTCCACAACCTCAAACAGTCACACTCCAAACTCCACTATGGCCAAGACCAAAGAGCTGTCAAAGGACACCAGAAACAAAATTGTAGACCTGCATCAGGCTGGGAAGACTGAATCTGCAATAGGTAAGCAGCTTGGTTTGAAGAAATCAACTGTGGGAGCAATTATTAGGAAATGGAAGACATACAAGACCACTGATAATCTCCCTCGATCTGGGGATCCACGCAAGATCTCACCCCGTGGGGTCAAAATGATCACAAGAACGGTGAGCAAAAATCCCAGAACCACACGGGGGGACCTAGTGAATGACCTGCAGAGAGCTGGGACCAAAGTAACAAAGCCTACCATCAGTAACACACTACGCCGCCAGGGACTCAAATCCTGCAGTGCCAGACGTGTCCCCCTGCTTAAGCCAGTACATGTCCAGGCCCGTCTGAAGTTTGCTAGAGTGCATTTGGATGATCCAGAAGAGGATTGGGAGAATGTCATATGGTCAGATGAAACCAAAATAGAACTTTTTGGTAAAAACTCAACTCGTCGTGTTTGGAGGACAAAGAATGCTGATTGCATCCAAAGAACACCATACCTACTGTGAAGCATGGGGGTGGAAACATCATGCTTTGGGGCTGTTTTTCTGCAAAGGGACCAGGACGACTGATCCGTGTAAAGGAAAGAATGAATGGGGCCATGTATCGTGAGATTTTGAGTGAAAACTTCCTTCCATCAGCAAGGGCATTGAAGATAAAACGTGGCTGGGTCTTTCAGCATGACAATGATCCCAAACACACCGCCCAGGCAACGAAGGAGTGGCTTCGTAAGAAGCATTTCAAGGTCCTGGAGTGGCCTAGCCAGTCTCCAGATCTCAACCCCATAGAAAATCTTTGGAGGGAGTTGAAAGTCCGTGTTGCCCAGTGACAGCCCCAAAACATCACTGCTCTAGAGGAGATATGCATGGAGGAATGGGCCAAAATACCAGCAACAGTTTGTGAAAACCTTGTGAAGACTTACAGAAAACGTTTGACCTGTGTCATTGCCAACAAAGGGTATATAACAAAGTATTGAGAAACTTTTGTTATTGACCAAATACTTATTTTCCACCATAATTTGCAAATAAATTCATTAAAAATCCTACAATGTGATTTTCTGGATTTTTTTTCTTCAATTTGTCTGTCATATTTGACGTGTACCTACGATGAAAATTACAGGCCTCTCTCATCTTTTTAAGTGGGAGAACTTGCACAATTGGTGGCTGACTAAATACTTTTTTTCCCCACTGTAACGTGACAACATGTAAAGCAACATGTGATAGCATGAAACTACACATGTGAAAACATTTGAGCACATGCGAAAACATGATCTTATGTTAAATAAATGTGACAACATGGGGATGCTAAATTTCAACATGTGATACCATGAAACTACAGATGTGACAATATTTGAAAGTTTTTCACATGTGAAAGTGCAAATTCAATTTTCACATGTGAAAGTTTTCCACATGTGAGAGTTAGGTTTTCACATGTGCAAGTTTTTCATGTGAAAATGTACATTTCATTTTCACATGTGAACGTTTTTCACATGTGAAACTGCAAATTCCACGTGAATTTGCAATTCACATGTGAGGTGAAAACATGTAATTCTCCTCACATGTGAAAAGGTGGTGTTAACATGTGAACTCTATATTGAATACATGTGAACATACTATATGGGTTTTAAGGTAATTGGTATGCTGTTCAGCTAAAATAGTGTAAAAATCTTTCATCAATGACAATAGGATTACATTTGACATGATCACTTAGTACTGACTTTTCCATATGACCCCAACTGGGATTTGACCTCACAACCTCTGGGGGTGCCCTGATCTTTTTGCTGCCCCATGAAGTTTGTACATTTTCAGAAGTCCCCTACACATTCATGACCTATAATACATCTCTGCATTTAACAAAAGAGTGCCATCTGCACTGCTATTTTAGTTATCAGTTAATCTGACTATTCTTTCTTACCTACACCACGGCTCAAACGTTTTAGAACACCTACTCATTCAAGGGTTTTTCATTATCTTTACTATTTTCTACATTGTAGTATAATAGTGAAGACATCAAAACTATGAAATAACACATATGGAAACATGTAGTAACCAAAAAGGTGTTAAACAAATCAAAATATATGTTATATTTGAGATTCTTCAAATAGCCACCCTTTGCCTTGATGACAGCTTTGCACACTCTTGGCATTCTCTCAACCAGCTTCATGAGGTAGTCACCTGGAATGCATTTCAATTAACAGGTGTGCCTTCTTCAAACTAAATTTGTGGAATTTCTTTCCTTCTTAATGCGTTTGAGCCAATCAGTTGTGTTGTGACAAGGTGGGGGTGGGGGGGTATACAGAAGATAGCCCTATTTGGTAAACGACCACGTCCATATTTTGGCAAGAACAGCTCAAATAAGCAAAGAGAAACGACAGTCCATCATTAATTTAAGACATGAATTTCAGTCAATCCGGAAAATGTCCAGTCGCAAAAACCATCAAACACTATGATGATACTGGCTCTCATGAGGACCGCCACAGGAATGGAAGAACCAGAGTTACCTCTGCTGCAGAGCCACAGGAATGGAAGAACCAGAGTTACCTCTGCTGCAGAGGATAAGTTCATTAGAGTTACCAGCCTCAGAAATTGCAGCCCAAATAAATGCTTCACAGAGTTCAAGTAACAGACACATCTCAACATCAACTGTTCAGAGGAGACTATGTGAATCAGGCCTTCATGGTCGAATTGCTGCAAAGATACCACTACTAAAGGACACCAATAAGAAGAAGAGACTTGCTTGGGCCAAGAAACACGAGCAATGGACATTAGACCGGTGGAAATTTGTCCTTTGGTCTGGAGTCCAAATTTGAGATTTATGGTTCAAACCGCTGTGTCTTTGTGAGACACGGTGTGGGTGAACGGATGATCTCTGCATGTGTATTTCCCACCGTAAAGCATGGAGGAGGAGGTGTTATGGTGTAGGGGTGCTTCGCTGGTGACACTGTCTGTGATTTATTTAGAATTCAAGGCACACTTAACCAGCATGGCTACCACAGCATTCTGCAGCGATACGCCATCCCATCTGGTTTGCACTTAGTGAGACTATCATTTGTTTTTCAACAGGACAATGACCCAACACACCTCCAGGCTGTGTAAGGGCTATTTGACCAAGAAGGAGAGTGATGGAGTACATTTGACCGGTAGTGTATATGTACATACAGTATCTACCTCAATTACGGTACTGGTACCCTGTGTATATAGCCAAGTTATCATTACTCATTGTGTATTTGTTATTATTTTTGCTATTATTTTTCTATTTCTCTCTCTACATTGTTGGGAAGGGCCCGTAAGTAATCATTTCACTGTTAGTCTGTGCAATTTGATTTAATTTAATTTCCCTGGTTCAGCAATTTTAGGGTTTTCAGTATAGTTGTCTAATGTAGGTGGGACATATTGTTTTGTTTTAATGTTACTCCTCAAACACTATGATAAATATAATAGTTTTTTGTGAGTGTATTTTTAACAAAGCATATACTTACTTTACTTAAGTCCAAAATCTAGGACTACGGGTGAAATCAGTCGTTGCCGCAGACATGGTGGCATAGCACAAAGATTAGAATGCCGTTAACCAAGAGGTTGTTAGTTCAAATCCCAGGTGAGGACATGTTGAATAATATTTACTGTATAAACATACACAATGTAATCAAATATGTAAGTTGAAAACACTGCGGCTGTTCCGGGGACATCCTGATGACTGATTTCTGTTTGCAGGGCATCATTTGAAAATTCCAAAACCATATTTTTTCACATAATTTCACGTGAAAGGTTATGTGATCACATTTGAAAATCTTCATGTGAAATATTATCATTTGAAATGTTCCAAAAACACATGATTTTTTTCTGTAAGGGACACACACACACACACACACACACACACACACACACACACACATACACACACACCGTCTTGCTTATTTAACCTTGTGGGGACACACAATTTATAACCATTCAAAATCCTATTTTCCCTAACCCCCAAACCTAACCCTAACCCTTACCCTAACCCTAACCCCCAAACCTAACATTAACCCTAAAACTAACCCTAACCTTAAACCTAATTTTAACCCTAACACTAATTCTACCTTAACCCTAAACCGCCTAGAAATAGCATTTGACTTTGTGGCAACTAACAAAAAGGTTTTGTTTGTTTACTTTTTTTTGTTTGTTTACTGTTCTTGTGGGGATTTCTGGTCCCCACAAGTATAGTTAAACACGTCCACACACACACACACACACACACACGGTCGTAAATGTATTATCCAATGCTGAGGATTGAGTCACTAGTTGATAATGTAAAACAGCCTGCCATGCAATGACCTCTCTACCTTGGGCATGCTGTCATGGTCATTCATGGTAAGTGGAAAGAGGATCCCTGTGTGTTGGGTTAGAATGAAACAGGAGCAGTGTTTCTTCTGAAAGACAACCCTAACCCTTGACCATGCTAGTGCTGCGTAGATGTGTTTGTGGTAGTTCTTTGGTCAGTAATCCAATGTACTGTATTTGTGCCGTTTCACAAAGACACAAAGCCTTCGAGATAAGCTATTCTTTTTCCTGGCTGTATAACTTTTAGATGTGTATTTGAAGTTCCTTCCATGCTCTGGTTAATGGTGTGATAGTGCCCAGTATGTCAGCCAGAGCCAAGTTCACCCACCCACTCTCTGGACGCAACATAGGCCAGTAAGTAATGCACTCTTAAATAATTTGGCAAACCTTGCGTCTTTATGAATGAGATAGTTGGTATTTAGAATGTGTACTTTTAAATTATGAATCGCAGCTCTTTGAATAATTTACTGTTCACTTGCCATCAAGATAAGTCTAGTTTGGAAAGCTGTTTGATGTCTTATTCAAATATGTATATTTCTGAGGAACTATTCAATAAAATATAATTAAACTACTTTGATAGAATTAAGTATTAGGACATTGCTTTTATCATACTAAACTTGGAAGGCATGTTTTGGGTCTGCTAAACCATCTTACAGACTTATGCAGACATAAAGAATATGCTTTACGCAACCTCTTCTGAAGGTACTAGGAATGATAGAATCTCTTTGGTTCTGAATTATTTAATAGACCTGCTAGTTTACTGCCATAACAACGCAACACAAGTGCAACATTTGCTGAAAGGATTTACATCAACCTTATCAAATGGCCTTATTGAGCCATTAAATGGATGCATCTGATTGCACTGTGTCACCATCTCTGTATAATGTCAAATACTACTCACAACTCATCTTATTTTGGACTCATATTTTACCACAAAACTGCCTATGGCTGCTGTCTGCGGTTAAAGGTTAAAGCACAATTTGCTTCCAAAGTACATCTAGAGTCTCTGAGCTAAATGGACCGGTAAACAGTGGAGGAGTCAAGGAAAAACGGCGTGCCAATGACGGTGGAATGTAATTGGTTGTCCTATGCTCCACCAGTGAACCCAGTTTATCATGCTCCGAGGGTACCCGGTCAGTCCCACAGTGCTGCAGTCACAGATGGCTTCTTCACACTGTGTTGGACTAAAGGTCTCTCTCTGGAGTCCTAGGCACTGACTGTAGCCTAGCCTGCTTTACGTGCACGTCAGTGCAGGCTAATTTCACAAAAGCGCAAATGTTTTCAGAGAGGATATGCTCTACACGTAATTTATATCATCACACTTCTGGCCATTGTATAGAGAGGCTTTGTGGCACAGAAGCGGCAATACTGAGGCATTTGAAGAGTCTTTGAGTGTGTCCAGTGAACTGTATGTTTGTTGCAATAATTCTCTGTGGATGTAGCCTATTTAACAATTTCACCCATCGTTAGAATTGTCTGCTTACATGCTCTGAATCTAAAACAGATTTCTCCTAGGCTAAACAGATGCAAAGGATGACATAGAAGAGAAGAAAAAGCACAGAAATGCCACAATGTTTGGCCTTGAGGGACAGTGATTATATAATAGACATAGATAATCATGGAGGGTTCCTGCAGGCCCACTGGGGAGGATCAGCCTGATTAGAATGGACAGAGAGCAGAGCACCGGGGCCCACGTGGATTACCTACTGTTTTATTATAGTAGCTTTCACTTTGTGTTTTCTGGTCAACATATATGGATGTTTGTTCTTCAGATTCAAGTGTTCGGGCAAATTGTCAATGTTGTTTTTAACTGACACTGAAAAAGCTTTCAGGCCAGAGCCTCTTTTTGATTCCAATAGGATAGTGAAAACACAAATGTTCTAGTCTAGAACACAATTAAGATCCTTGTGTTCTTTTTTAATCATCACCATTATCTTCTCACAAAAACATTTTAAAAGCCCAGTGATGTACTGTAACTATAGCAACAGGGAAGCTGTCACAACTTTGTGAAGAAACTGTCTACAGAAGCTTTGAGGATAGCTGGGCTGGATCACAGATTATATTCAGCTCCCTGACCAACCTTGAGGATAGCTGGGCTGGATCACAGATTATATTTAGCTCCCTGACCAACCTTGAGGATAGCTGGGCTGGATCACAGATTATATTCAGCTCCCTGACCAACCTTGAGGATCTCTGGGCTGGATCAGGTTATATTCAGCTCCCTGAACAACCTTGAGGATCGCTAGACTGGATCGCAGATTATATTCAGCTCCCTGACCTTGGGAAATGTAACCCTGACATGGAACATTTGAAGAAATTAGCTTCAGAGTTTTAATATGAAGCTGACTTCAAAATTACAGTTACTACAGCACAGAAACTCTTTTTAGTTAAAGCTTTTATTGTATCCCAATTCATGTACAGTGCATTTGGAAAGTATTCAGACCCGTTCCCTTTTTCCAAATGTTGTTACATTACAGCCTTATTCTAAAATTGATTAAATAAAAAATTTCCTCATGAATCTACACACAATAACCCATATTGACAAAGCGAAAGCAGGTTTTTAGAACATTTTGCAAATGTATACAACAAAAAAACATCCCAGAAAAACCTTATTTACATAAGTATTCAGAACCTTTGCTGTGAGACTTGAAATTGAGCTCAGGTGCGTCCTGTTTCCATTGATCATCCTTGAGATGTTTCTACAACTTGATTTGAGTTCACCTGAGGTAAATTCAATGGATTGGACATGATTTGGAAAGGCACACACCTGTCTATATAAGGTCCCACAGTTGACAGTGCATGTCAGAGCAGAAACCAAGCCATGAGGTCGAAGGAATTGTCTGTAGAGCTCTGAGACACGATTGTGTCAAGGCACAGATCTGGAGAAGGGTTCCACAGTGGCCTCCATCATTCTTAAATGGAAGAAGTTTGGAACCACCAAGACTCTTCCTAGAGCTGGCTGCCCGGCCAAACTGAGCAAACGGGGGAGAAGGGCCTTGGTCAGGGAGGTGACCAAGAACCCAATGGTCACTCTGACAGCGTTCCAGAGTTCCTCTGTGGAGATGGGAGAACCTTCCAGAAGGACAATCATCTCTGCAGCACACCAACAATCAGCCCTTTTATGGTAGAGTGGCCAGACGGAAGCCACTCCTCAGCAAAAAACACATGACAGCTCGCTTGGAGTTTGCCAAAAGTATCTAAAGGACTCTCAGACCACGAGACACAAGATTCTCTGGTCTGATGAAACCAAGATTGAAACCTGGCACCATCCCTACGGTGAAGCATGGTGGTGGCAGCATCATGATGTGGGAATGTTTTTCAGCGGCAGGGACTGGGAGACTAGTCAGGATCAAGGGAAAGATGAACGGAGCAAAGTACAGAGAGGTCCTTGATGAAATCCTGCTCCACAGCGCTCAGGACCTCAGACTGGGCCGAATGTTCACCTTCCAACAGGACAACGACCCTAAGCACACAGCCAAGACAACGCAGGAGTGGCTTCGGGACAAGTCTCTGAATGTCCTTGAGTGGGCCAGCCAGAGCCCGGACTTGAAGCCGATCGAACATCTCTGAAGAGACCTGACAGAGCTTTAGAGGATCTGCAGAGAAGAATGGGAGAAACTCCCCAAATACAGGTGTGCCAAGATCGTAGCGTCATACCCAAGAAGACTCAAGGCTGTAATTGCTGTCAAAGGTGCTTCAACAAAGTACTGACTAAAGGGTCTGAATTCTTATGTAAATGTGATATTTCAGTTTTGTATTTTTAATAAATGTGCAGACATTTCTAAAAACCTGTTTTTGCTTTGTCATTATGGGGTATTGTGTGTAGATTGATTAGGGGAAAAAATTATTTACTCCATTCTAGAATAAGGCTGTAAAGTAACAAAATGTGGAAAAAGTCAAGGGGTCTGAATACTTTCCGAATGCACTGTAGCTTATGCTGAATAGGCATCTAACCTTGAGGATAGGCCTATTTAGAGTTGTCCTTATAATAGACATGAACACAAAAATGTGATTTAGTTTAATGAACCAAAGCAACTGCGGAATCTCTTTCTTCCTCACTCCTCTGGGCGATACAGTAGCTAAATGTGTCTTACTTTTGTGACCAACACCTTCAAAGGCAAATAAATGCTGCTAGAGGATAAGCATGCCCACTTAGAGGAGAAGAACAGAGGGAGGTAGAGAGAGAGAGAGAGAGAGAGAGAGAGAGAGAGAGAGAGAGAGAGAGAGAGAGAGAGAGAGAGAGAGAGAGAGAGAGAGAGAGAGAGAGAGAGAGAGAGAGAGAGAGAGAGAGAGAGAGAGAGAGATTGTGCTACTGTACTGAAGGCTGTACTGCATGGGTACATGCTGACAAGCCGCCATACAAACACATTCTCCCATGCTCTTCTGGGGAACAACGGGACAATACAATAAAATAATCAAAACTTCATTAAAACTATAGAAGAATCATGCAATTGCCTATTGAAATTATTTCTGTGTGTCAGAGCAAACTCTGCGATAAGCCTGAAAGCTATGGTAATCATGAGCAATTAATAGAAAAATCAAAGTCAACCCTGTTACGTGTACTGAACTCTCGATTTAATATGTTGAAACTATTCCTTTCAAAACATTTGTCCAATTCTGGTGTTTTGTGTTGGAAAACTGAGTTGAGCGTAACACGTCAACCCTGTTAGCCATAGATAGACAGGCTAGAAATGTTTTAACAATTACACTTTTTTTGTGAACCTTGCCACTCCCTGTTGCACACAACAAGCTTCCAGATTTATGGCTGATTTAAGATGAAATCGTCAACCCTGTTACGGTCAACCCTGTTAGTTTATTTAGCACTTAATAGACACTTACTATAGTATTTTTTATTTTATTTAAAACCTCTTGAGATAGGAAAACTAGTTTTTATATGACGTTAAACATGTGCACTTTATGACAGAATGTTAAAATCAGGTGAAATCTCACCTTTTTTTTTACAAAGTTACACTTCTCAAAAGGCACTGAATTGGTAGAACAACCCTCATGCCACACTCTCCTTGACTTAGGGTAAAAACTAACATGTGTGCTTTAACACAAAGAAACAGTGTCCAGAATGCCCATGGTACATCTCTGACAGTCCAACTTGAGCTGGATTTTTCAAGAATGATTCTTGTGTGCCCTGTTAAGCTTCAGAAAGTCATAAAGGTCATGGACTGTTAATGAAAACTGTGCCATGTTCATGTGTCTGAGAGAAATCCAAATCCACTGGGGCTCCGTAAGTCATTCAGTTCCCTAAAAACTAGGTCAGCCAATGGGAGAGCAGTATGAGGATGAGTTTATTATGAATGAGTGGAAGATACACGTCACCCCAGGGACCACTAGTGCCTCAGGTTGCATCTCAATCCCATTTTCACTGGCAACCAGCACTGCAACCAAAATAACCAGTTTCTCAACATAGACATTAGTGTACAAACGTCATAGTCTATTTTATATATTCAGTACCTGACTTCTGTATTCACCTGTACAGTATGGTTGCCCATTGCTTAACTCATGTACTCTAATGACTATTCAGATTTCTAGACATGCATGAATATGTCATGAATAAGTGGGTTTGTTAAAGGTTAGGGTATGTGTGACGTCATGTTAGATTAGATCCCACACACATCACAGCCACCTAAAATAGCCTGTAACCACAGGCTTTATAGAGATGAAGATGTGGTTTTATCATGGGAATGACCTCCAGGTCATAATAGGCCACAGTTGTTGATGCCACAGGACCTGGAATGTGGAGTTGTTGTCAAGTTTCCACATTATTCTAAATCCTGATAGCTTAAAACATCAGGGTCCATATTCTTAAAGCATCTTAGAGTAGGATTATTGACCTAGGATCATGGCCATCTGTCCATGTAATGTTATTATTTATGATCTAAAAGGCTAAACTGATCCTAAATCGTAAATTCTACTCAAAAACATAATATTATTGTGGATCCTCTGTCACCATAGCTAAGATATGGAATGTTAGCATACCTGCTGTTGGCCTAAAAAACAGAACCAGTCCCTCAGAAACAGGTGCCTCGGAACAAGGGCTACTTTCCAAATGACACCCTATTCAGTATTTGGTGCACTACTTTTGACCAGTGCCCATAGGGCTCTGGTTAAAAGCAGTACACTATATAGGAAGTAGGGTACCATTTGGAACACAAATCAGGCCTTCAGAAACAGATGCCTCAGCTAACTTCTTTCCCCTAGGGACAGCCTCGCAGAAATGATGTGTAAGCATTTTGGAGAATCACACCCCAGAAGCAATGTTAATAGGTGGAAGGAGAGCGATGGAAGAGGTTTTTATGGAGAGAGGGGCCAAGAGGAGGATATATGCATATCTACGGTAATGGTGGGTTGACCCCTCCCCACAATTGTGCTATATGTTATCTAAGTTGACATATTACAAGATTTGAGATCGGTTGTATCAAATAAATGTTTTATTGGATAGGGAAGAGGAGTGGATTGAACTGCATCTACAGAGAAATTTAATTGGCTGAATAGACCAGAGAGATTCATCGTCGTTGAAGTCACAGTTGAGTGAACTTCCAGACCTGTCAGATTACATCATGGCTCTAGATGTTTCCACATTAGGGACCATGGAAATCACAGTCAATTCCAATGAAAGCACACAGGCAGGCAACAGAATAGATATGCATGCACAGACACAGACACACACACACACACACAACACACACACATGCACACACACGCTGTCTCACTTGAGTACTGCGGGTCACATGCACACACAATCTCAGAGACGAGTTCTCACAAACAATCGCTAGTTACCTTTCTCACACTGTGAGCACAAACGCAGGAGCACGCACACACGCACACACACTGTACATACAGACAAACATACAAACTATACTCACACACACACTATGTGGTGGAAGAGGTATGTTGTTCTATCCTCTATTACAGGCGATCCATGGTGACCTTTTCTGCCTGGTCTCACTTCATGTTTTTCTTTGGCCATAACCAAGGAAGATCAGCCCAGACACAAAACGTCTCATCACTGCTGTGATGGTCACTCCAGTTATGCAGTGAGGGACTGGCTGTGTCCCAAATGGCACACTATTCCCTCTAAAGTGGGCTCTAGTCAAAAGTAGTGCACTATCCGGGAATAGGGTGCCATTTGGGACACAGTCACAATGACATTTATAACAGTCAATAGATGCGTTTATGTCCTTCCTGTCGATATATTAGCATGGAGTGACATTTAAATCAACCCAGTGCAGCGGCCTACAGTGAACTCACATTAAATCAACTGGACTCGGTTTGTTTTCTGAGAAAAGAAGGAGCGAGAGAGAGAGAGAGAGAGACAGAAATACATAAAATATCATTAAAATTTTGGCTACACCTAAATTAAAGTCTCCAATTTAAAGCACTTCAAACCCAAGAGCTGAGCCCAGAAACGAGCCCTCTCAGTCAGCTGGTGTTGGACCTAACCAACCAAGCTGACACCAGCACTGCTTCAAAAGAAAGCATTCAAATTAACAAAATCCTGAACCAATCAAAGGACTCATATTTAAAACATTGGAAAAACGAAACAAAATCCCAAAGCCGACTAAATTGCTATCTGGCTCTAAACAGAGAACATGAATTGTCTGATTATCTCTACTCTGTCAGAGATACGAAGCAGAGACAGATCCTTATCAAGTACAGGCTGAGTGACCACCAATTGGCAATAGAAACCGGCAGACATAAAAAGACATGGCTACCCAAAGAGGAGTGTGTATGTGGTCACTGCACAGAGGAGGTAGAAACATAGATGCACTTTCTCCTTTACTGTGATAAATATTCCTCACCAAGAGATTCATTATTCAAAGAAATTACTACAATTATTCCAAATGTTAACTTATTAAACCAAGAGGAAAAATAAAAAAATACTAATGGGCGAAGGAGCAATGGCTCCTTTTGCAGCTAAATATGTATTTGCCTGCCATAGCCTGACGGACACTGAATAATAACATCTGCATAGTAACAGTAACTTACTTATTGTTAGTATTATTATTGTTGTGATTATTATTATTCTAAATAGTAGTGGTACGGGTACATTTACATTTACGTCATTTAGCAGACGCTCTTATCCAGAGCGACTTACAGTTAGTGAGTGCATACATGTTTTATTTATTTTTTATACTGGAATCGAACCCACAACCCTGGCGTTGCAAATGCCATGCTCTACCAACTGAGCTACATCCCTGCCGGCCATTCCCTCCCCCCCCTGGACGACGCTGGGCCAATTGTGCACCGCCCCATGGGTCTCCCGGTCGCGGCCGGCTACAACAGAGCATGGATTCGAACCAGGATCTCTAGTGGCACAGCTAGCACTGCGATGCAGTGCCTTAGACCACTGCGCCACTCGGGAGAGTAGGGGTGATGATAATGATAGCATTTTTATGATGGTGGTGGTGGTAGTAGTAGTAATGATGATGGTAGTTGCTGTCACGAACGTTGAAGGACGGGTCAGACCAAGGCGCAGCATGAAATGCATCCATGTTTATTAAACCGAATAAACATACAAAAACAACAAAAGGCAACGAAACGTGACGTCGGAAGGCTATACACACACAAGCCACACTAACCGAACACAAACAAGATCCCACAACACAGGCAGGAAAACTGGCTGCCTAAGTATGATCCCCAATCAGAGACAACGAGCGACAGCTGCCTCTGATTGGGAATCACACCCGGCCAAACATAGAAATAGAAACATAGAATCCCCACATAGAAAACACACACATATATTCACACCCTGACCAAACTAACTAGAGTCTATAGGTCAGGGCGTGACAGTTGCAGTACTGATGTAATGGAGAGGAAAGACAGTTAGTTAGTTATAAGTTAGTTATAGTTTCATTTTCCATGTTTAGCCTTTATATTTATTATATTTCTACTATTGACTGTTACCATTTTATTGTTGTTATTATTTATTTATTAGTATTATTATTATTATTGTTATTTTGTATTCATATTTACTACTATTTTATATATATTTTTTAATTATTTCTTATTTTATTACAATGTATATTGTATACATTGTTGCTTTGGCAATATTGACGCAAGATTTTTCATGCCAATAAAGCAGCTTGAATTTGAATTTGAGAGAGAGAGAGAGAGAGAGAGAGAGATAAGGATAAGAGGGTCTGCTAAATGACTAAAATGTAAATGTAAATGTAGAGAGAGAGAGAGAGACAGAGACAGAGACAGAGACAGAGACAGAGACAGAGACAGAGGGACAGCGGAGACAGAAGAGACAGAGGACCAGAGAAAGGCAGAGATCAGAGACAGCAGCAGACAGAGAAGAGGGAC